TGAATCTTGATCTGTCATTTTGGCAAAGTCTTGTTGCTGCTTTTGCTATTTCTCTTGCTGTTGTTGTTGTTGTTTTTTGGATCATAAAATCATGTTTCTCCTATGTTGCTTCTGGCTTGCACTTGTTTGTTCTGGCTGCTTTGGCTGATGCTTTCGTGTGCCTATTTATCATTTTAACGCTCATAACTTGTAGCTGGTGCCGCACAGCTTGTTGTTGATAAAGCTCGTTGTTGTTGTTGTTGTTGTTGCTGTTGCGGTTGTCATATTTTTAAATCACATTAAAACCTTGAACAACACAATGCCATTATTATTATGCTTATTCTCGCTGTATTTGTGTCTGGCTCTGTGCTCTAATGTGTGCTCTAATGCTTTTAAATCACAATAAAATAAATAAAGAGAAAACCAAGAGATGCTATTTCTCTTTGCTTAATTTCATTCTTCTATGCTCTATATAACCAGCTTGAATGGAATCTTTAGTTTAGAGTTATATATTATTTACTTTATACAGCAATCTTTAAATATAAAACATAGCGAGATAAGCTAAGAATATCCTCTCAGATTCGAAATCTTAATTAATGTCATAGTCGTATTTAATTAACTTCCGTTTTCTCAGCTTTGAGAAAAATAATGGCAATAAATGTTAAAATCTATTAAAATGCAATTTGATTTTTAATAGATAAATTATTGTAGATTATCTATGCGCACAACGAATTAATTGTTGAATGAAAACATTTTAGGGTCTCAAATTTCATTAATCGTTTTTAATTTTTGAATTTCTTCAGCATTTAAAATACTCTGAACTGGTGATATAACATTCAAAAGATAAACCAAGTAAAATAATAAAAAAAATAAAAAAAAAGTCGAAAAAGCAGTTTAGAAAAATGTTCTTAAATTATTCATGATAAAAAAATATATAAATATTTCTCACAAAATATAAAAAAGTAACTTTAATATATATAGCAAATGCGGATGTTATATCATACATTTTCTAAACTTTACTTTTCTTTCCTAATGTGCGAAACACCTGCAAAATTTTACACTCATAATTAATCATGCGCATCACCTTTTTCCTTCTGTCATCTGGGCAATTAAGCAAAAATTTCTTCATGATATTTACTTTTGAATATTTATATAAATAAACAAGCACATGTGCAGTGTATTTTGTTCCAGTTTTGTTTTCTTTTATATTTTATCATTGTGACATGGAGATAAACACTCCTATCTGACTGACTGACTGACTGACAGAGTGGCTCTCACACTTCAGATCGCCAACAAGGCTCGCACTTCACTTGCATTACTGTATCTTATCGAGCTGTGATAAAGGTTATCCCCACCCCCTCCACAATGCATTGTTGGCTTTCATTTGTGAATACGAGTGTCTTGTGTTTGCTTTCTGGTCAAGGCCCCCCATCCCCTCGCTGATAAATTCCAGCCGTACGTCATAATCTATGCGATGATCAATGCGTATGGCGCTTTGCTCCACTGACTCTTTGAGCGGGCGCAAAGGTCATTGAAATGGGTTCAGAATTATTAATTACGCATCTTATAGCGATATATTATTGTTGCTATTACTACTACTACGATTGCTGCTATCGACTACAGACAACAGACAACTCGTATGCATTGCACATGTCACTTTATGGGGCTTCGTTGTAATAGAACAGCCCCAATGCCCGACCATGTGATATGTAAATTTTATTTATACACTTATTTATGAGCGCAGCTCCCTAATGCTCTATGCATGAGCTAAGCTCTCAAATTTGTGTCGCTATTTTTTTTTTGTTTTGTTTTAGTTACTCGCAAATTTATAGCTACTTTTTGAGAAATTATTTTAAATTTACTTTTTTATTTTATTAATAACCTGAAGCCATTTGAAATAGAATCTTTGGCTATGTACATTTTTACCATACTTAAGTACATTAACTGGTAACAGGATCGAACAAAAGTATAATTATTCATCATCAAACCAGCTGAGTCAATTTTTTTGTTCTATCCGTCAATTCGTAATAATATGCGCTATTCGAGCTCCAAACTGGAAATGTTACAAGTGGACAAACTTAGGTAAAGTTTGTTTGTTTAAATATTATTTATTGCCTTTTCCCTTTCCATAAATTCGCTTAATTTATTCGCCTGCCAAAATAGCTGTAGAGAGGTTTGAAATGTCTTAAAACGTAGAGCTGGCAAATTTGGTGAATAGCAAAAACAATATCTAAAATTATACTCTCTTGATCTCCCTCTCAATAAGACATTCCAAAATGGGAAACAAATCTGTTTAAAATAAATCACGGAGCTTCAAGGTATCTGCTAGTCGAGCACGATCGTTTTGAGGCCTCAATGTGATATTCTCTCACGCTAAGATAAGAAATAAATGTAGGAAATGCACTTTCTATCTAAAATTCTGTTATCTAGTTTGTAATCTGATTCAATTTGTACTTTTATCTATAAATATTTGAAGTATTGCGATAATCATCAACGACTAAATGTTTACATTTATTTTATATTCCCGATATACAAAAATGCAATCCAATCTATATACAAATATTAAATAGTTAAATTGAAGCACACGACTGTTGTGTTAATGAAACCAGAGTCCATACATAGCAAATACTCAAGGAAAAAAAAAAAAAACCTTTTAAAAAAATTATACATTTGCCATCAAACAACGCAAAGTGATTTCCTATAAATAAGTTTTGCGTGTTTTGGAAACTGCTGTTATTGTTTATCAGCAATAAAAGTAACAATAAACTAAAATATTTAAACATTTTTATTTGCACTTTTTGGCATTGATTTGGCCCGAGTCATAAGCAAACCTTTCACAAACAAAACAGCAAAAATTGCAAACGGTTATAATGAACGTCAATAATGACAATAATATTATTTATTTATTTTTTAGTAAACGCTTCACAGTGATTTTTTGTGTCACATTTGATTCTTATTTTAATTAGATTTTATTTGCAATTGACTCCACTCAAATTTCATTCATGCTGCATTAATGTACACTACAATAGGCCCGACCAGCTCTATTTCAATTTCAATCATAATTCTTAATCTTAATAGCATAATCAGCACTTGGCACGATATTATTATAATCAATTACCCGAACGCACAGATAACGCTGCGTATACGCGATGCGTGTGCTCCAATTGGAATTTAAGCAGTTTTAAACAGTTCTTGAAACACGCATTTGTGTGCCAAACGGTTCTCGCATACACGATCTATGTATGACAGCGACGCGATGCCTCGCCACGTCTATCCAATCGTCGAGCTATAATGCCGCCGTATACTATGCGCCCGCCGAGCTGCCGTTAAAAACGTGCAAACACGCGCGCTGTCAAATGTCAACTGATCCACGTTCGCGAATATCGTTTACACTTGGGCTTGGACGCCAGCGACTCACGGCTCACGGCTCACGCTCAGCCGATCGTCCATTTGTCCGCTTTGCTCTCTCGTTCGCTCACCCCTGCGCCGTGAGCAAGCGTGCGAGCATTTGCGGTTTTCGGCTTTGGTTTTTTTTCGTACGCTCGTTTATGCTTTCCGGCGCGGCATCTGATAGTGGGCCGCAGCAATCATAATAAACACAGGCACTACTATGATAGACTGCGATATACTCTGGAGACAATTGTTTTTGTGTAAAGTAATTCATTTCGAATTTTAAAATATCATGGGCTCCTTATTTAGTTTGCAGCTTATTCAGCTTTCTACAGAAACAACTCAGGCGACCCAATATTATACCTTATTCGTATAACCTAATTCTGCCGCTTTTGCTCAGTCACTTAAGCTTCTCCATACATAATATATATACCCCTTTGGCCATGCTCAACAGTATATAATAATACTCAACTGAAATGCAGCTAATATGCGGTTTATCCTCCAAATGGTTTCATAATTTTTTTTTTCTCTTGCGACCATGAAGAAGAAGATATAATTTTCAAACAACCAAAATTGATTCTTGTTCCATTCTAGCTTCCGTTTGTGCGATCAGCTTTAGATAATTGCATTCTTTTTATTAATAATGACGGGCAATTGATTTGCAGCGGCGTATGTCAAGGCAAGCGGGCAATATGAGAAGACATTTTTTATTTGATTATCAAATAAAATAATAATAATGAATGTATAAATGTTAATCATATCACCAGATTCAAGAACGAGACTGGATTTTGTAAGATTTGAATATGAATACTGATTAACTGAGAGACTGACTAAACTAGTGTTGGCTTGATTTGAATAGTGAAAATCATTAGATATTCCATAGAGAATTTTTAATTGATTCTGAGGAAGAGTAACGCTATAATTGTATTAATAACTATTAAAAAAGCTTTAGGTGGTAATGCCCAACTAGGGGATACGTTGAGCCGCGTCTAATCATAATTTTTAAATATACTCCATAGCTTGTAGCTAGCTAAAAAATAGCATCAAATTCGACACACTTCGTCGACCTGTCCAAGAATATACATATATACTTTATATAATATAATGAAACTGTAAATTAAATATAAATATATAAGGTAAGTATTCATGATTTTTTCTGCTTAAACTACATCAGAAAAACAATATTTATTTACTTTATTTATATTCATTTAATATTTATTAGTTTACAATAAGCGATTACAATTATGTTTTTTTTTTTTTTTTTTTTATTATTACTTCGTTTTAAATACAATTTATTATAATTACAATTTAACTATTGTTTTCTTTTTACAATTTTTTCTTTATCAATATTTGCTGCCAGTGCAAAAAGTTTGTTCAACTTAATTCTAGTTGATATTGTGGAAGTTTTATTAAACGGCCTTTGTTTTAAAGAAAAAATAAGAGTTTTGCATGTTAATTGTGAGCAAAATGTTGTCAGAACTTTAAATATGTCTTGCTTTAATTGAAATCAGAAAATAATTTTATTTCGTTCCTGGCATATTACTATTGCAGAAAGTTTAGAAACCTATACACAAAATATGCGCTACTAAAAATATCATCGATTTGTTGTTTCGTTTGCCTGTGTTGTTGTATTATTTACAATTGGTCTCTTTCTGTCTGTATTGATGTGTTGGTGTACGTGTGTGCGAGTTTTCATGGTATTTCCACTATGAAAAAAAAATTGTTCGGCTTAAAGTAGTGACTATACATTTCGTTTATGTTTAATAATATTAATTAAAAACTTCATTTTGAATAATTAAAATATAGCGGCGACTGCTCGCATGCCCCCAAGCAACAGTGGTGCACTGTGAACAGGCGCGAGAAGCAAAAATTTCGCTGCATAGCTTCAAGCGCGTTAACAGCTGCGCTCTGCGCTTGGCTGGCTGCGGGGGAAGAAAACTCGCCGATTCGTTGCCTTTTTTTTTTTAACACTTGCTGTACTAGTCAGTTAGTGGAAGTATTTCATTTGCATTTTAAAACAATCACAACAATTTAATATTAATTGACTAAAAAACTACAAAAATAATTGGTTAATCATAGTAGTAGTAGTAGTAGTAGTAGTAAGTAGAGTTATAGTCATAGTCATAGTTCAAATCCTCCATTAGTCGTTGTTTTGCATTTAAAATTAAAACAAACCTTACATACTTTTCTTCTCCTATTCATTAATCTTTTGTGCGCTGTGAACGCCTCAGTGGCAGTTTTTTTTTTTTTTTTCATTTTGCATTTTCATTTTACATTTATATAATGTAATTTTATTATTTAATTTTTTAGGAGCAGCTTCTAACCTTGAGCATGATTTTATTTGTGATCTATCTCTCTCTCTGTGTGTGTGTGTGTGTAAAACTTTTGATCCTCTATATAAACTATGTAAGACAATCGTTGAGATATTGTCTTGTGTTTATATTTATGTCTGCTGTGGCTATACGCTGTTCCATTTCAAGTTTACGTACTGCTAAAGAGTATTCTTATGGGTGCATTGTTCGTTTCGTGTATGTGTGTTGGAAAGGTAAGGCAGTTTTTAATTTTAAAGGCGAGTTGATGTCCTAAATAACACTCGAAATAGTAGTGGGGTATTTGTGTGTGTGTGTGCGCGCGTATATTTGTGTGTGTATTTTGTGCTATAATACAAAGTGTCGTTGCTACTACCCACACCCTAAACATTTATAGGAAATCTTTAGTTCTATATATTTATATATGTATATGTATGTATATAACAAAATATCATTATGTAATTACACTCGACTAATGAAGAAGTTGTCGTTAGAGGACGAGAATTCGTTTGTAGCTGCACTTTAAAATCTAAATATTCTCTCTGCATCATTGCATTGTTTCTGTTTCACTTTTGGCAGTTTCGTTAATTGAAAATTCTATGGTGGCCTTTAAAAAATTTCTATTGCTTGGCAACTACGCAAAATTCTCATATTAGTAAGGAAAAATACTAAATTGTTAATACAAAATAATAAAATTATTTTCTTAAGTTATTAAATAAATGTTTGCAATGCGCTTTGTGGCATTTCTTTCATGTCGTTTTGCTTTTTACAATTTCTATTAATGTTTCGTTTTGTTATTTTCGTCAGTGTTTCATAAACGCTGACGACTACATTTTCTGCTCACAACTGTACTTTTGCTTTTCCTTTCTGTCATTTCATTGCATTTGTTGCGCGAAATTTAATTTCGTTTCTAGCTTTTTGCACGAGCATCTCAAATACTTCTGTTACAAACTAAAATTATAGCTAGGGGTATTTGTTGTTGTTCTGTCTGTGTTAAGTTACTTTACAGTTTAGGAGATATAGTCCGGTGTTGGTTCGGGCGCAGCGTCCGGGTTAGCGAACAGCGGATTGGGGAACTCTGGAGGATGTGGCAAGGGTGCCAATGTCTTGGGTCTTCTTCTGTAGGCCATTAGCCAGCAGGAAACGGCCACGGCGACGGCGACAAGCGCCAGCAGTGCCGTGATAACCAAGGCTATGATCAAGCCCACCATGGACACGCAAATATCCTCAACACGCTGAGCCGCAGGTTTGACTGCATTGAAATAAACAGAGAGTATGATGTTAGAAACCATGAATAGGTAGGTGAATAACTAGGTAGTAGTAGGGGTACTCACTGTTGGCATCATTCAGGCCTGGACCGCTGCGTTTCTCGAATGTCAATATGGCATTGGATGAGATGGTGATCTCCTCACGCAGCTGACCCTCCACGCCAGTGCTTGTGGCAATTGCCGTTGTATCGCTTGAGTTGTCCGCAATGGAGCGACGTCTGCGTCCAAAGGCATTGTAGCCGCCGCAGTTGACCGGCTGGCATTTGCCGAAGCAAACGCGTATGTTGCACTGGAACCGTATGTTGTCACTGGAGGGGAATTTAAAGGCATTGAAGCTGGCCAGCAGACTATTGGTATCCGGATTGTATTCCCAGTTGCCAAAGATGCTTGTGTCCGTGGCACAGCCATTCTCATCGGTTACGAGGTATTCGTTCTGTACATTATCCTCCATTGTCTTGGCTATGCAGGAGCGCGCGAATCCGCCATAAATAGCTAGATGAGCAGAGCACAAAAGAGAATTCAAGAAATGAGTTTTTCGTTATTTTAGTTAAAGTTTTAGCTACTTACTGGCTGGTTCAACGTCCACTTGCAAGCGTAGATTGTCGCCAATCTCTGCAGAATTGATTTCCTCGCCTTCATTGGTAATTATTCGCATTTGGCAGATCGGCGGTGGTCCAGTATTGGCAATTGTGCCGGCTGTTGTCAGCATGGATACGTTGAAGCCTAGCGTCACGTTCTTCTCGCCGGTCTGGTAGACGCACTTGATGTTGTAGGCCTGCGCCTTGTAGGTAACCAGCTTGGGGTGCTTCTGTATGACCAGGACGAAGCTGGCCACATCCTTAACGGCTTGCATGCCACAACTGCCAAAGTGTACGCGGAAGAGTTCGGTACGTGGCACCGTTTCACCAGCCAAATTGACAACTCGACGGCATTCCTCATCCTTGCTGTGTCCCTTCACATACAGTACGCCGTTGAAACCTGGCTCGGTTATATGGATCTCCACTTGTACTCCATCAGCCAAGCAACTGACAACCATGTCGGGGCGTGGGAAGTCCGTACGGAAGTTGGTGTGATTGCAGTGCAGCTCTGGATTACCTGTGTAGCCGGTGATGCATTGGCACTGGGCACGATGGTTCACAGCATTACAGAAGGCATTCACGCCACACGTCTTGGTCAGGCAGGGATCCTCACAGGTCTTTGTTTCCGGATTACAGAAGCGATTGTCCGCACATTGCTCATTGGTGACGCATTCGGGCTGCTCAACGGGCACGCATTCACCCAGCGGTGTTAGACGATAGCCCAGGTCAATGGGACATGTGCAGCGACCACGTTCATCGATTACCATGCCGCGCTCCAAGGCGCACACGCAATGGCCGCTTTCATCGATACGATATCCTTGTTCCACTAGACAGGGTGTGCAATACTCGTAGATGTCGAGAGCGCTGCCCGGTGGGCACACGCACTGGCCATCGACATCGCGCACAAAGCCCTTCTCGATGACACACAGCGAGCGCTTGTCGCACTGCACGGCTGCGTTACCTGTGTAGCCCTCGAGGCATTCACAGATCATGGTGCGCACAGGCAGCGTATCCAGGACACGGCATTCGGCATTCACGCCGCACGGCTGGGTTGCGTTGCAGGGATTCACACATTCGCCTCGCAGACAGGCGCGTTGAGTTGGGCAGTCGCCATCGCTGGTACAAATGGGCACGACTCGTTCCTGCTCGCAGCCATTGCGACCGGGCACAGTGCCGGGCGGGCAGGCGCATTGGGGCCTATGCTGATAAACCTTGCAGAGCTCGTCGTTGGCGCAAATGGCAGTGGTCTCACAGGGATTGGTGCATTTGCCATTGACACAGGCCTTGTCGGATGGGCACTCGTCATCGTTGCGGCAGCCAAGAGGTGTGCAACCCAGACGCGCATTTCCGCCATGTCCAGGAGCACATTCACACACGGCCCGATGATTAATGGCCAGGCATTCGGCATTGGGTCCGCATTGCTCGCCCTGGCAGGCGGGTATGCAGAGCTGATTACGGCATGCGTGTGTTGCTGGGCACTCGGAATTGATGGTGCATTCGATTTTGGCGCATTCGAATTCAGGATTGCCCTCGTAGCCCTGGCGACAGGTGCAAACTGGCTTGTGATCCTTGATGCGACACTCGGCATTCACTCCGCAATTGCATGGATTACGGCAAATGCCGCTCACGCAAGACTTGTCGGCCGGACAGTCGGAGTCGGAGATGCAGCCGCCTACTTTCACGATGCTAGTGGTGGGTTTGCAGCTACCGCTGCCACTGCTGATGTAACCATCTGGACAGATGCAGATCATGGTGCGTACAGGTGCCGTAGGGGTCACCTGGCACTGGGCAGGTCGTTGACAGGGCTCCAGTACCAAGCACGGGTCGACGCATTGTTCGTTGATGCAGGCCAAACGAGCAGGACAGTCCGTATCCAGTTTGCAGACAGGTTGGGGCTCCGGGCGACAGTCCACATATGGATTGCCAATGAAATCTGATGGGCAGCGGCAAACGGCCATGTGGTTCTGTGGACGACATTCGGCGCGTGGCGCACAGATATTACGGTAGACGCATGGATTTACGCATTGCTCGTTCTGGCAGGTCTTGTCCGTGGGGCAGTCATTGTTGCTAGTGCAGCCAATTACTCGGCAACGCTCGTAGGGATTGCCGCGATAGCCGCTGTGACAGCGGCACTGGGCACGACTCGACTGTACGTAGCACTCGGCATTGGGGCCGCAGGGATCGTTGACCAGACACGGATTGATACAGTTGCCATTGATGCAGGCCTTGCCAGAGTCGCATTCGCCGTCGACACGACAACCAATGGAGCGACAGACGGCATAGGGATTGCCCTCAAAGCCATCCTGGCAGCTGCACACGGCGCGATGTTGTTGGACCTGGCAAACGGCGTTGGAGCCACAGTTGCAGGGATTGCGGCACTGGCGATTGACACAGGCCTCCTGATCTCCACAATCCGAATCACTTTCGCAGCCTGGCGGACTCTGTAGCACCAGTTGACGGCATTCGCCGCTGGCATCCGGTACTTGCGATTCGGGACACTCACAGACCATGGTCCGTACGGGTACGCTGTCCAACACACTGCAGTGAGCACTGCGTGCGCAGGGCGATAGTTCGGTACATGGATTCTTGCACTTGGCATCGATGCAGGCCAGGCCGCTGGGGCAGTCACCGTCATCGCGGCACACGGGCTCCACGGGCCGACGCTCGCAGTAGGCATAGGGATTGCCCAATGGCATTTGCTCGGGACAGCGACAGACGGCACGATGCTGTAGCGCCTGGCAGATTGCATTCTGGGCGCACGGGCTTTGAGCACAAGGATTCACACACTGGTTGGCAACGCAGGCCAAATTAGAGGCGCAATCGTAGTCCGAGTGACATTCTAGACGCACACAGCGCACAAACGGATCTCCCTCAAGGCCAGTGGGGCAACGGCAGCTAGCGCGATGATTGCGGCCATAGCATTCAGCATTCAGAGCACAAGGATCAGCGATCAGGCAGGGATTGACGCACTCATGATTCGTGCACTGCTTGTCACCGGCGCACTCATCGGCCGACTGGCAGCCAATGGGCGCGCAGCCGAATTGGGCATTGCCTGAGAAGCCAGGCTTGCAATAGCAAATCGGATGATGATTCTTGACAGTACACTCGGCATTGGGCCCACAGTTGCATGGGTTGATGCACTGCGCGTTGATGCACGCCTCCGCAATGGGGCAATCCGAATTGGATTTGCAGCCCACAGTGATGACATCCGATGCTGCAATGGAGTCAGAATTAGATAGAGCTGAAATTAAAAACTTTCGTCTTATGTTGACTTACGTGGCAGACAACGAGTGCGTGCGTCTCCCGTGTAACCAGGCGGGCAACGGCAAATGGCGGCGCGATTCTGCACATGACAGTAGGCGCCTAGGCCGCAGGCGTCAGCCACACATGGATTCACACAGCGTTCGTTCTGGCAGTTCTTATCTCGTGGACAATCATCATTGCGTGTGCATTCGGGGCCAGGAATCTTCGGTATAGCAATATCCGTGGTATAGCATTCAATGCGTGGATTACCCTGGTAGCCAGCTGGACAGCTACATTGCGCATAATGATCGCGTGCATTGCACTGAGCATTCACACCGCAACGTTCCAGGTGGCAGGCATCCAGACAACTGCCATGCAGACACACCTCAGAGCTGGCGCACTCTGCATTGTGCTGACAGCCGCCGGAGACGATAGCCGGCTGGATGGGCACACAATTGCCGGAATTGTCAGAGACAGTGTCGCTGGGACACTTGCAGATCATGGTGCGCAGTGGTAGGGTATCCAGAACGGCACAGCTCTGCTGTGGGCTGCACACGTGCGGCGTGGCACATGGATTTGCACAACGCTGATTGATGCAAGCCAATTTCGATGGACAGTCAGCGTCTTGGGTGCATTGCGGCTGTGGATCCTGTTTGGGCTGCTCGCACAACACGAACGGATTACCCTGGTAGCCTGGGCGGCACTCACAGCGTGGCTGATGACGACGTCCCACACAAAGAGCATTCACAGCACATGTGTCCTGCTCGCAGACTGGACGGCAAATGCGATTCAAGCGATCGCAGGCTTCGTTATCCGCACAATCCTCGTTGTACTGGCAGTGGCCAGTGATGCAAGCGATGAAGGGACTGCCCTGGGTGCCTTCGGGACAGCGGCAAACAGCCTGGTGATTCTGTGGCAGGCATTCGGCGTCGCTGCCGCAACGCACCTGGCCGTGGGTGCACGGGTTGACGCAGTTCTCATTAAGGCAGGCCTTGTCATAGGGACAATCAGCATTTATCTTGCACTCGGCTGTAAAAATGAATAGATTCAATTCAGATTCAATTTGATTTGGGTACTCGTAAATACTTACGCTTGAAGCATTGCACTTGTGGATCGCCACCCCAACCAGCGGGACAGTAGCAAATGGGTCGTGAGTTTTGCACACGGCACTCGGCATTTCCTGCACAAGGATTGGCCTCAGCACACGGATCCTGGCAGCGTTTGTTGATGCACGCTGTTGTGGGCGTGCATTCCGAGTCGTGAGCACAGCCAGCTGTGATTTGTGCTGCATGAAAAGAGTGGAGCTTAATAAAATGAATGTGCTGTGTGGGTCTAAAAGTCACTTACGTGGTTGGTAGCAGTTGGTGAATGGATCACCTTGAGTGCCCTTCGGGCAGCTGCAGATGGCTCGATGATGTTGCGCCAGGCATTCAGCAGTACGCGCACAGGGCGATGGATCCAGGCAAGGATTGACACAATTGCCTCGGCGACAGGCCTCGGTGTCCTGGCACTGATCATGTGATACGCAGCCTTGGTCACGTACGGTTTCTACATATGAATTGAAGATCATAGATTAGTTGCGAATTGGCTAAGGTGGGAATTTAAGTGAGCGTGCTGCAGTTATATAGAGGTTATAGAGTGCATATAAAATATACAATGTGCAACTCTGCAAACGGATAGAACGGGGAGCATATATTGAACAAAATTTACAAGAATAATTATTTTTATATTTTTGGCTGTAATGATAGAAGCAAACTCGACATAAAGCAATATAAGAGATACAATCCTTTCTGGAATTGTTTGCTTGTTTGTTGTGAGCTTACCTTTGCGACATCCAATGTCCGCATCACCCACGTAGCCAGGCTCACAGCGACAGATCATTGTGCGCAGGGGCAGTGTGTCGACGACCTCGCAGATGGCATTCGCTCCACATGGATGGGCTACGTCGCATGGGTTCTTGCACTCGCCATTGAAGCAGGCCAATTTGCTGGGACATTCCGCATCCATGGTGCAGCCTTCGGGCTTGACCGGCAGCAACTCACAGCGTACTGCTGGATTGCCGCTGTAGCCGGCTGGGCAACGGCATTGCGCACGATGATTGTCCACGCGACACTGGGCGCCAATGCCGCAATTGCAGGGATCCTCGCAGCGCTCGTTGCGACAGGCCAAATGGAAGGCGCATTCATTATCGTTGCGACACTCAGGTCGCTCGCAACGCAATAGAGGATTGCCACGATAACCGTCAGGGCAGTGACAGCGGGCACGATGATTGAAGTCCGCGCGGCAGATAGCTCCAGTGCCACATTGAGTGAAGGTGCAGGGATCCACACACTGCTCGTTAACGCAGGCCTCGGTGGGTGCACACTCTCCGTCGGAGCGACAGCCCAGCAGATAGCAGTTTTGCAGTGCGTTTCCAGTGTAGCCTTCGTTGCATACGCAGAGCGGACGATGGAGCTGCACGTGGCAGCGTGCCTGCTGTGCACACAGATTGGATTGCTCGCAAGGATTGCGGCAGAATTGATTGATGCACGCCTTATCGTTGGTGCACTCGCTATCGCTGGTGCACTCCGGCTTAGGCGGATCCAATTGAGGCACTTGACGCACGCACTGAGCATATGGTGAGCCATAAAACTCTGGCGGGCAACTGCAAATGGCCTTGTGATTGATAACACGACAAATGGCGTTGAGGCCACACGCCTGTTGACATGGATCACGGCATTTCTGACTGACGCAAGCGCGATCCCGGGAGCAGTCTTCGTTCGTCACACACTCCGGATAGCTGCAAGTGGCAGCACCGTTGTGTACACGGCAGATACCGTTGCTGCGACAAGGCGATGGCTGGCACAGATCAACGTCAACATTACGTGGCGCTTCGCATTGCACAAATGGATTTCCTATCATGTTGTCGGGACAGGAGCATATCGGACTGTGATTGATGGTCTGACAGACAGCGCCATATCCGCACACTCCAATGCAGGCATCGACGCACTTATTATTTACACAAGCTCGATCCTTGGCGCAATCCGAGCTGAGTGTGCATTCAGGTCGACAGCCCTGGCCCAATGGGTTACCAAAGAAGCCGGGGAGGCACTCACAAACAGCTTGATCTCGTTGCACGCGGCACACTGAGTTTAGGCCGCACGGGGATGGATAGCATGGATCCGAGGCCGGCGGTGGTGTCACCTGTCGTGTGCATTGCACAAAGGCGTTGCCCGTATAGCCCGTCGGGCAGGAACAGATTGGAATGTGATTGTTGACGTTGCATAGAGCTTCCAGTCCACAGGTGCCGGGGCAAGGATCAGCACACTTATTGCGTATGCAGGCACGATTGGCTGGACATTCCGAGTTGCCAACGCATTCGGGACGACAGCCCTCATACGGATTGCCAATGTACTCCTGTATACACTCACAAACATAGCTTTCGCCTCGCAGGCGGCACTCGGTGTTGCTACCACACGGCGATGGCTGGCATGGATTCTTCGGCGAAGGCACTGGCGTTGGCACAGCTGTGAAATCGATATAAAATGTATAAATTAGGTCTAGATTTAGGGTTGGGTGGGGTGGGGTGGTGAAGAGAGGTCGCCCTGCCTATATACAATATGCAAACTTGTTTGGTTGGACAATTGGTTCTTACGTTGTTGAACTTGCTGGCAAAGTCGGAACGGATCACCCGTCATACCGGCAGGACAATGGCAATTGGGCGTATGTAGGGTAACTCGACAGATAGCATTTTGACCACAGCTTCCGGGGCATGGATCGCGACACTTCTGACCTATACAGGCCAAATTATTTTGGCACTCGTCATTGTAAGAACACTCGGGTCGGCAATGGGGCGGCGTGCCTTGGAACTCTGCCAGGCAACTACAGCGCGCTTGACCGTTCTCGTTCGTACACTGAGCATTTGGTCCACATGGAGATGGGTAACATGGATCACGTGCCTTTTCTGGCTTGCGCTCTATAACAATAGGACTGCACAGCCTGTAGGCATTTCCAGTGTAACCAGCGATGCATTCGCAGTGAGCACGATGCTGTACAGCTTGACAAACTGCGTTTAGGCCGCATTGTCCTGGGCAGGGATCCACGCACTTGTTGTTGATGCACGCGTGCTGTTGGGAGCAGTCCGAGCTGGTGTAGCACTCCAAGCGACAATTGGGCGGTTGACCCAGATATCCAGTGATGCAGGAGCAGATCGCGTTTCCATTCCGTTCAATGCACTGCGAATTGGCTCCACATGGCGATGGTTGACACGGATTGATATTTGGCTCATCCCGCACCGGTGTACAGTCAATAAACGCATTGCCAGTCATGCGCTCGGGACAGCGACACATGGCAATGTGATTAATGGCATCGCAAAGAGCGTTTTGGGCACATGTTCCAGGGCACGGATCGATGCACTTATTGCGTACACATGCTCGATTTCTGGGGCACTCGGAATTCAACACGCATTCCGGGCGACAACCGACGTAGGGATCGCCCTTATATTCGGGCAGGCATGAGCATACACCATTGCGACACTGTGCATTCGTGCCACATGGTGAGGGATTGCACGGATCATCAGGAACTATAAAAGAGTTGGATTTACTGTTAGGGGAAACTACCGTGAATTGTAAGAGACTGAGCATACTTGTTGGTGCCGGTGGCGGCGTGGGTGGCATGAGACGACAGCTAGTGAAGGGGTCGCCCGTATAACCAGCGGGGCACGAACATGTGGGCGTATGATTAATTACATTGCACTGTGCTGCAAAGCCGCAGGCACCGGGGCAAGGATCGCGACATTTCTCATTGATGCAAGCCAAATTACTGGCACACTCGGCATTAATGGTGCACTCAGGGCGGCAGTTGGGCGCTGCGCCAATAAAGTTGGGCAAGCAGCTACAACTGGCGCCTCCATTCTGTTCGCGGCACTGAGAATTGGGTCCACATGGCGATGGCACACACGGCGTAGGTGGCTGCTTAGGTTGATCTGCCTCTTTGGGTGGTGGTATCGGGAAACAGCGGACGAAGGCATCGCCTGTGTAACCAGACTGGCAGGAGCATAGCGGACTATGGTTGCGCACATGACACTGTGCATTGAGGCCACAGGCGCCAGGGCAGGGATCTTCACACTTCTGGTTGATACAAGCCTTATCCGCGGCACACTCGGCACTGATGACACACTCTGGACGACATGCAGGTGGAGTACCAATAAACTGAGGCAGGCAGCTGCAAATCGCTTGACCCTGTGATTCGCGGCACTGAGAATTGGCGCCACAAGGCGACGGCTCACATGGATTTTTATAAACTGGGGGCGTGGCTAAATGGGGGAAAAGTTGGAATTAGCTCGCATACGTGATTGATGGCAAAAGTAAAGCAAAGCATTTTCTAAAAGCACAAAGCAAATCAAAAGCATTTTAGCTATTTCACAAGATATGTCTCACAAAAGTATTATGAGTTAAAGTGTTCAATGATGCGATGATTGGAGAGAGACAATTTCAGCGAGGGGCCAAGGGCAAAGGGCTGGTTACCAAGTGGTAAATATTATTTGTTGAGATAGAATCAGCCTGAAGACAACGCAAGGCAGGCGCGTAGAGTTATTGCGATCTGACATAACAAAAAATTGCTTAATTTAATGTTTAAGGGGTTAAAAGGCATATCGAAAGAAAAGGAAACAAGTCATAAAATTGATGAGGAGATCAAAAAAATTTCGCGTTTTAGTATTATAAAAAGACAACCCATTCAATTGAGTACTGCAGGGCTCAACAGAGAGAAGAGAAATTGAGGAATAGGAGATAGTATTTAGTGGCATTATTAATTCAGTTTGTAATATCTCCAAGTTGTTCTTACGTTCTTGTTGGATATAGTGACAGCTGTGGTAGGGATTGCCCACATGATGGGGATGGCATTCACAGACAGGCACATGATTGATAACCTGACAGTAGGCATTGAGACCACAGACACCAGGGCAGGGATCGCGACATTTTTCATTTACACAAGCCTGATTGTTACTACAATCCGAATTATGTGTGCACTCGGGTCGACAGATCTCATAGGGATTACCATAGTATTCAGGCAGACATTTGCAGATGCTTTGGTCATATAGCGGCTGACAAATGGCATTTACACCACAGGGGTTTGGATTACATGGCACCGGTATGGGTAAAGTCGGCACTGGAGGTGGCTTGGGTCGCATGCATGCGGTATACGGATCACCTTCATAGCCCGGCGGACAGTAACAATGCGGGCTGTGAGCTATAGCACGGCACAATGCCAAATGACCGCAGCTACCAGGACAAGGGTCAATGCACTTGCGATTATAACAAGTCTTATCAGTGGCACAATCGGCACTGTTAACACATTCAGGTCTACAGTGCGGCGGTGTACCAATGAATTCTCTAAGACATGTGCACTGTGCAACCTGCTGTATGGCCACACATTCTGAGTATGGGCCGCAAGGAGATGGTTGACAAGGATTCACTGCGATAGGATCCTTTGCAGGTGGTAATACTGAAAAAACAGAATTAGATATTGTTTGGACGTTATGAAATGGATGTCGCATACCTATGGGCTGGCAGGCTATCAAGGGATTGCCCGTAAGCGAGGGCGGACACACGCATATGGGACTGTGGTTGTTAACATGACATGTAGCGCGGAAGCCACAGGCACCTGGACAGGGATCTTGACATCTAAGGTTCGAGCAATACTTGTCAAGAGCGCAATCTGAATTAGTAGTACACTCTGGACGACAAGAGGGTGGTGTGCCGAGATATCCAGGTAAGCAATAGCAAATCGCTTGCTCATGATAAGCACGGCACTGAGCATTCGGTCCACATGGTGAAGGATGGCAAGGATAGACTGGCGGGCGTGGTGGTACAACAGCCGGAACTGTACTGATAGTTGAAACAGGCGGTTTTGGTATTGGTAATGGTATTGGATCACAGCGTACAAAGGCATCTCCGTGCATTTGTTCTGGACATGAGCAGGAGGCAATATGATTGTATGTTTTGCAGATAGCTTTTTCTCCACAAGTACCCAGACAAGGATCCACACATTTTTGCCGCCTACACGCCTTATCATTCGCACAGTCCGTATTCAGTACACATTCGGGACGGCAACTCACATAAGGATTTCCTTGATATTCACTCAGACAACTACATATACCATTATTGCAAATAGCATTTGCCCCACAAGGCGACGGATAGCAAGGATCCTTTGTTGCGGTGGGTTCACGTTGCACAATTAATGGCCGCGTTCGTTGACATGAATTAAATGGATCGCCGGTGAAACCTGCCGGACAGAAACAGTTGGGTATATGGTTGTGCACCCTGCATAGCGCATTGTATGCACAAGATCCTCTACAAGGATCGCGACACATTTCATTTATACATGATAGGTGAGCAGGACAATCCGAGTGCACAATGCACTCTGGACGGCAATTGGGCGGTGTTCCACTATAATTGGGTAGACAAATGCACGCAGCAACTCCGAAGCGATTGTGGCATTGCGAATATGGACCACATGGCGATGGATAGCATGGATTAATGTCTACACTAGGTATCGCAACGTCATTGATTGGACGGAAAGTTGTAGATGGTGCAGGGAAAGATGGAATATTCACAACACTAGGTGTTTCAGAGGGTGGTTGAGGTGTTGTGTGTAGATCATTGTAGATTGGCCTTTGAGTTGTTGGGTACGTCGGGTTTACTACGGACGGTATATTGATAACTTCTGGTTGTTTTACAGGTATTGGTGCTATTGGAGATGGAGCGAATATATGAGGCTGACTAGCTGTTGGTGCCGGTTGTGGTATCGAAGGAATATTGACAACAACAGGTTTTATGATTGGGTGCTCATTCGGGCGATTCACAGGAGGAGGCTGAGGCGCCGGATATGTTGGTTGAGGTACGGATGGTATATTAATAACTTCCGGTCTTGTGGCAGGTGTTGAAATCGCGTAAGGAGATGGAACGTATATTGGAGGCTGCGTAGTTGGAGGTGGCGGATTCGTTACAGAGGGGATATTCACAATTCCAGGTTTATGCGTTGGTGTTGGTTGTGCTGGATAGCTCATATCATAGATCGGTGTTTGATGTGTGGGGAATGTAGGTTGAGCAACAGATGGTATATTGATAACACCTGGCTGTGAGACTGGCAATGAGGGTTTCGGTGAAGCAATATAAATTGGTGCCTGTGGTGTTGGGGTCGGAGGTATTGGCCGGGGTAGTGACGGAATATTAATAACTCCTGGTATTTGTGGTGGTGGCGGATAGTATACATCGTATATAGCTGGTCGAGGAGGCTGAGTAGTTGGAGCGGGTTGTGGTGTTTGCGGCACGGAAGTTATGTAAATAATCTCTGGCTGTGGTGAAGGTGTTGAAGAAACCGGAGGTGACGGAACAAATATAGGGGGCTGTGGAGCTGGTGGCAACGGTTGTGGCAAAGAAGGAATATTCACTACTCCTGGTTTAGGAGTTGGTTGCGGAGATGGATAATTGACATCATAGTGTGGAGGCTGGGGTGATGGATAAGTTGGTTGTGGTATAGACGGTATGTTGACAACTCCCGACGGTGGTGAAGGTGTTGAAGAAACCGGAGGTGACGGAACAAATATAGGGGGCTGTGGAGCTGGTGGCAACGGTTGTGGCAAAGAAGGAATATTCACTACTCCTGGTTTAGGAGTTGGTAGCGGAGATGGATAATTGACATCATAGTGTGGAGGCTGGGGTGATGGATATGTTGGTTGTGGTACAGAAGGTATGTTGATAACTCCCGACGGTGGTGAAGGTGTTGAAGAAACTGGAGGTGACGGAACAAATATAGGTGGCTGTGGAGCTGGTGGCAACGGTTGTGGCAAAGAAGGAATATTCACTACTCCTGGTTTAGGAGTTGGTAGCGGAGATGGATAATTGACATCATAGTGTGGAGGCTGGGGTGATGGATAAGTTGGTTGTGCAATAGACGGTATGTTGACAACTCCCGACGGTGGTGAAGGTGTTGAAGAAACTGGAGGAGACGGAACAAATATAGGTGGCTGTGGAGCTGGTGGCAACGGCTGTGGCAATGAAGGAATATTCACTACTCCTGGTTTAGGAGTTGGTAGCGGAGATGGATAATTGACATCATAGTGTGGAGGCTGGGGTGATGGATATGTTGGTTGTGGTACAGAAGGTATGTTGATTACTCCCGGCTGTTGATTTGGAGCTTCTGGAGTTGGTGTTTTTACAAATACAGGTGTTGTTGGATAAGTCGGTCGGGACACCGAAGGTATATTAAGAACCTCTGGTTTGATATATTGTGGTGGCGATGGAATATAATTTGTAGTTGGTTGTGGGTCAGCAGAAACATAAATCACGCCAGGTATTATAATCGGATATGGTGGAGCTGGTGTGTCATAAATTGGATGTGCGACAACTGTTGGAGCTATATCTTCCAAAAAATTATTATTAAATGAACTGCTGCATGTTGTATTACATTGAAGCTTACTTATTTGAGTCTTGTAGCAACGAGTAAACGGATTTCCGGTGTATGATAGCTGGCAATAGCAAATGGGATTATGGTGATGGACACGACATTCAGCATTAATACCGCAGGTGCCTGAACAGGGGTCAATACACTTATGCTGTACACAAGCCTTATCGTAGGGACACTCAGAATTCAAAGTACATTCGGGTCGGCAATAGGGTGGGCTACCATAGAAATCAGGAAGGCAAGAACAAATAGCTTGTTCGTTGCTTTCACGGCACTGAGCATTGGGGCCACAAGGTGATGGTACGCAGGGATCGGGGTGACTTATAGGTGCTGAGTTAAAGATATATAGAAACTTGTTACACATGTTATGGTAATTCCTTGCAAGTGGTCGCTTACATTGTTCTACTGTTGGTAGAGGCCTGCAGTGTATCAGTGGGTTGCCAGTATAGCCGCTAAAGCAACTGCATTGCGGCAGGTGATCAACTACATGACATTCTGCATTAAAGGCACATGTGCCAGGGCAAGGATCGCGGCATTTCTGCTGTACACAAGCTCTGTGCGAGGGACAGTCGCTGTTGAGTATACATTCGGGACGACAGGCTTCATAAGGATTGCCGTAGTAATCAGGCAGGCAGCTACAAGAGCCAACGCCTCGGTGGTGACTACATAGTGCATTGGCGCCACAAGGATTGGGCTCACATGGATGACTAACAGGCTGTTCATACTGTGGTGTTTGTATAGCCGTTGTTGCGGGAGGCGGTATTGAGGGTGGGTGTGGCAATTGACAGGAAGTAAAGGGGTTTCCAGTAAGTCCAGGGGCACACACACAATTGGGCTGATGATTGCTGGTTCGACATATCGCGTTGAAACCGCACAGACCACGGCAAGGATCCTGACACTTGCGATTAATGCATGATCGATCGCTAGGGCAATCAATGTTGGATATGCACTCTGGGCGACAGTAGGGTGGCACGCCTACATAATCGGGTAGGCAACGACAAGTTGCTACGCTCTGATCACTGCTACACTTGGAATGAGGGCCGCAGGGCGAGGGAACGCATGGATCAAGTGGCTCACGTTGGATTACGACTGGTTTTATTGGTTGACACTGTACATACGGACTACCTGTGTAGCCTGAAGGGCATACACATTGAGGCCTGTGATTTATGACATGGCATTCGGCACGATGACCGCAAACTCCCGGACAGGGATCGCGACAGCGGAGATTAATGCATGCCAAGCTCAAAGAGCACTCTGAATTAGTTGTGCACTCGGGCCGGCAACTTGGTGGACTACCATAATAGCCTGGCAGACAACTACAGATCGCCTGATTTCCAGATGGGTGACAAATTGCATTCGCCCCACATGGTGATGGTTGGCATGGCTGAAGTGGCGGTGGAGCTGAGGATACTTGAAATTGCGGAGCTTGGCATAAAATGAATGGATTACCCTGTAAGCCACTTGGACAGTGACACATTGCCACATGATTATGGACTTCACATATGGCGCCATAACCACAAGTGCCAGGACAGGGATCTACGCACCGATTTCGTACACAAGATTTGTCTAAGGCACACTCCGTGCTCAACACACATTCTGGACGACACGCAACATACGGATCGCCCTGGTAAAGGGGCAAGCAGCTGCACTTGCCACCCGCACACTGAGCATTAACACCACAAGGTGATGGTTGGCAAGGATCATCGGCGATTGGAGTGGGAATAGGTGGTGCTGGATAACAGCGATGGAATGGATCGCCAATATAGCCGCTTGGACATGTGCAGCTGGGCACATGATTTAAGACAGTACACTGAGCGTAAAGACCACAAGCGCCTGGACACGGATCCTGACACTTCTCATTTATGCACGCACGATGAGCGGCACAATCAGAGTTTTGTGTACATTCGGGATGGCAGTGCGGGGGCGTGCCGTAATATTCGGACAGACAGCTACAGATTGCCTGGCCATTGATCACACGACAATGGGCATTTTGTCCGCATGGAGTAGGTATGCACGGATTACGGTACGGTTCGCGCGCCACAATGGGCTCAGATATTGGTAAGCAACGCACAAATGCATTGCCAGTCTGGCCTGGGAGGCAAGAGCAATGGGCCCGGTGGTGTACAGCTTGACAGATGGCATTGTAGCCACATACACCGGGACAAGGATCTTTACACTTCTGATTGATACACGCCTTGTCAGTGGGACACTCAGAATTCGTTGTACATTCGGGTCGACAGGTGGGTGGCGTACCAAAATAATCTGGCAGACAGTTACAAACTGCATTGCCCTGCAATTCCTTGCACTGTGCATTAGGACCGCAGGGCGAGGGCTCGCAGGGATTCACATATATCACTTTGATGGCTGTGGGGTGGGTGCAAATGGGTGCAAATAATACATTGTTCATTGCGTTAGTGCAAATTTTTGACAACATATGCTGAGAATGCTTACGTTCTGCCTGACGCAGTTGGCAATGGCGATATGGATCGCCAACGTAGTTGGGATAGCAGCTGCAGAGGGGAACATGGTTGACGACTTGGCACTGAGCATTGGGCGCACAGCTGCCGGGGCAGGGATCACGACAATGTTGATTAACGCAGGCCAAATGACTGGAGCAATCGGAGTTCAGGACACATTCGGGTCGACATCCTTCGTAGGGATTTCCATAATAGTTCGGCAAGCATTGACAAGCACCAACTCTACCCTGTTGCTTGCAGATAGAATTGCTACCGCAAGGACTTGGAGAGCAGGGATTAATTTGGTCTTGTTCAAGTGGCGGGCGTGGATAGCATTTCGTGAAAGGATCTCCAATATAATCCGCTATGCAAATGCAAGATGGCACATGGCTGATCACTTGGCATGTTGCAGCCTGGCCACAGACACCAGGACAAGGATCGCGACACTTTTGTCCAATGCATGCCAATTGGTTGGAGCACTCCGCTGAAGTAACACATTCAGGTCTGCAGTTAGGGGGAGTTCCAATAAAGTTTTCCACGCACTTGCATTGCGCTTGGCTGCCATCTGGTGAAGGTGTACATAGCCCATTGGCACCGCACGGTGACGGCTGGCAAGGATTGACTGGATCCCGCTGTACAATTGGAGGCGGCGGAAGTCGTTGGCACAGGGCAAACGCGTTGCCTGTATATCCAGCCGGACAGCTGCAATGTGGTGTATGACGAATCACTTGGCAGAGTGCATTTTGACCACAGGCCCCAGGACAGGGATCGCGGCAATGTTGATTTTGGCAAGCCAAATGAGGGGCACAGTCTGAATTGATGGTGCACTCGGGTCGACAGTGCGGGGGTGTTCCGTAAAAGTCTGGCAGGCAGGAGCACACGGCCTGCTCGTTTGCCACTCGACATTGAGAATTACTGCCACAGGGTGTGGGACGGCATGGATTGGCGGGCACGATCGGATCAGCTAAATTTGGGAATATACATTACGGAAATGCAAATTTTGGAAATATACGCGATGAAACCTACGTTGTACTAAAGCACACTGCACAAATGCATTGCCCGATGTGCCTGGCGGACAGTGGCACATTGGCACATGATTGCGTACTTCACAAATAGCACCCACGCCACATGCGCCAGGACATGGATCAACGCATTTACTGCCCTGGCATGCTTTGTCGCGTGCGCAGTCTGAGTTAAGAACACATTCAGGTCGACAGCCTATGTAGGCATTGCCATAAAACTCGGGAAGACACGAGCATTGTCCGTTGGTACAAATGGCATTCGAGCCACAAGGTGAGGGGTTACAGGCATCGCGTGGAGGTGGTTCATATGATGGTGGTATTGGCGTACAGCTAGTGAAAGGGTTTCCTTGATAGCCAACGGGACATCTGCAAATGGGCATATGATTGATGACGCTACATTGGGCACCAAAGCCACAGGAGCCGGGGCAAGGATCGCGACACTTTTCATTCATGCAGGCCAGATGTGAAGCGCAATCGGCGTTTATGACACATTCAGGCTGGCAGTTGGGAGGAGCACCATAGTAATTTGGCAGACAACGACACACAGCTTGGCCGTGTTCAGAGTGGCACTGACCAAAAGTACCACATGGGGACGGTACACATGGATCGCGAATGGGATCCTTTGGATAGTCATAAGTGATAGCGGGCGCTGAAAGTTGTTGGGTTAGGATAGTTGGATTAACATGAACTGGGGACACCGTCTTACGTATAGTTCTACATCCGGCAAATGCGTCACCCGTAAAACCAGGCGAACAGCTGCAATGGGGGCTGTGATTAATAACGCGACACACAGCATTACGGCCACAGACTCCTGGGCAGGGATCAACGCAATGCTGATTATTGCAGGCCTTGTCTAGGGGACACTCGCTGGAAATGGTACATTCGGGTCGACAGCCTGGTGGTGTGCCAACAAACTCAGGTAGGCAACTGCAAACGGCCTGCTGATTTGACTCGTGGCATTTGGAGTTGGGTCCACATGGTGAGGGCTGACAGGGATGAACTGGGACAGGTTCTCGTAAAGCTATTTGTAAAGTCATTGGATAAATATGCTGCGTTGAAGACATTCTATAATGTAGTAGCTTACGTTCGGGTATGACACTACAGTAGCTATAAGGATTGCCCTCATAGCCACTAAGGCAATGGCATTGAGGCAGATGATGACGGACATGACAAATGGCGTTGGGGCCACATATACCCGCACAAGGATCGCGGCAGTGCTGATTAAGACATGCAAGCTGACTGGGGCAATCTGAATTTAAAACACATTCTGGTCGGCAACCAACATAGGGATTGCCATAAAACTCTGGCAAGCATTGGCATGCCCCAGCGCCATTCGATTCGGTACAGATCGCATTTGAGCCACAAGGGTTTGGTGAACAAGGTGTATGGGACTCGACCACGTCCCGCTGTACGTCGCAACCGATGAACGGATTGCCAGTGTGTCCACTTATGCAGTTGCACATGGGTGTATGATTAATAACATAGCATTCGGCGTTGCTGCCACATACACCAGGGCAAGGGTCACGGCATTTCTGATTAAAGCAAGCCAGATTCGTGGGGCAGTCAGCGCTGCTTACGCATTCGGGTCGACAGCTTGGCGGAGTGCCAATAAATCCCATGAGGCAGCTGCACTGAGCATTGTTTCCAACATTGCGGCATTCGGCATTGGGCCCACAGGGCGATGGTCTGCAGGGATCAATCACATCATGTTGAATTGGCTGTGCCGGCTGCTGATGACATTCAATGAAGGGATTGCCCGTGTAAGAGTTTATGCAACGACAGATTGGACTGTGGTTTAGCACTCTGCATTCAGTATTCTGGCCGCATGCACCCGGACAAGGATCAATACAATGTTGTTGCAGGCAAGCTAAGTGCAGCGGACACTCCGTGTTGCTAATGCATTCCGGACGGCAAGATGGTGGTACTCCTACGAATTGTGGCAGACAAGAGCAAACGGCTTGTCCATTTATGTTACGACATTGTGCATTCGCTCCGCATGGCGATGGTTGACAAGGATCAGATATAAGAATTGGCGGTGGTGGCGGCAATGGTGAGCACAATGCAAAAGCATTGCCTGTCATTCCAGCTGGACAGTGGCACATGGCCACATGGTTGTGTACCTCACAAATGGCATTCGAACCACATGTGCCTGGGCATGGATCAATACACTTTTGGCGTACGCATGCACGATTCTGTGCGCATTCCGTGTTCAATATGCACTCGGGCCGACAACCAATCAATGGGTTGCCATGGAAATCGGGTAGACAGCTGCATTGTCCCTGGAGACAAATAGCATTGGCACCACACTGTACATGCAGGCAGGGATCGTCAGCCAGCACAGGTGGTTTTGGTGGTGGGGCTTGACAGGAAGCAAACGGATTGCCAGTCAATCCTGGTGCACACTGACACACCGGTATGTGATTAATAGCCACACATTGTGCATTGAAACCACACGCTCCTGGACATGGATCGCGGCAACGTTGTTGTTGACATGCCAGATGAGCGGCACAATCCGCGTTGATGCTACATTCGGGTCGACAATTGGGTGGGCTACCAAAATAGTTGCGTATGCAACTGCAAACAGCTGTGCCATGATGTTCACGACACTCGGCATTTTGACCACATGGCGATGGAATGCATGGATTCTTATAAGTATCCAACTGTACAGGGGTTGGGGCTGTGAACAAGGTAAGTAAATATGAAATATGGAGCCTACAAAGATAGCTCGGTATGTCTTACGTGGAACGGGATAGCAGCGTGTGAACGCATCACCCTGATAGCCTTGACGGCAACTGCAAATTGGTGCATGATGGTAAACACGGCAATCGGCGTTTGTACCACAAACGCCAGGACATGGATCTCGGCACTTTTGATTAACGCAGGCCTTATCAGAAGGACACTCGCCACTGGTTACACATTCGGGCCGACAGTTGGGAGGAGTTCCCACATACTCTGACAAACAGGAGCAGATAGCTTGTTCGTTCTTTTCAAGACACTGGGAATTGGGACCACAGGGTGAAGGCTGACAAGGATTTACATATTCTTTCAAAATTGCTAAAGGACAAAAGAGGTTTTAGAATCCATATGTGAACTTGATTTTGGGTTTGCTGTAAACTCACGTTTCTCGGGAAGCTGACAATAACGATATGGGTCACCTATGAAATTGCTTAGGCAATGACATATGGGCAGATGGTTAAGAACGCGACAAGCGGCATTTAAGCCGCACACACCAGGACAAGGATCGCGACATTTCGATTGTTGACAGGATTTGTCCGACGGGCAGTCACTATCATTGACGCACTCAGGTCGACAAGCCTCGTATGGATTGCCATGGTAGTCGGGTAAGCATTGACAAGATCCAGCGTTTCCCTCCTGACGACACACGGCATTAGCGCCGCAAGGATTGGGATAACAAGGCTGGATTCGCTCCTCTTGTTGAATTATGGGCTCTTGGCGGCAAATGGTGAAGGGATCGCCCGTATAACCAGGAGAACAGTAGCACATGGCTACATGACTGAGCACATGACAGATGGCGTTGGAGCCGCAAGAGCCTAGACATGGATTCACACATTTCTGGTTTACGCACGCTTGATTAAAGTTGCATTCTGAATTGGTGACACACTCCGGTCGACAATTTGGCGGTTGTCCAATGTAGTTGGATAGGCAGCTGCATTGGGCCTGATCACCTACCGTACGACATTCGGCGTACGGGCCACAGGGTGAGGGATGACAGGGCTGCTTGACAGGAATAATATCTCGCTGCGGTGGTATGGGTGTACAGCCAAGGAAAGGATTGCCAATGTATTGGGCAGCACAACTGCATATTGGTGCATGATTTACTACTTGGCAGATTGCATTATAGCCACATGTGCCTGGGCACGGATCAATGCAATGCTGTTGTTGACATGCCAAACTTGGCAGGCAGTCCGAATTCCGTGTGCATTCCGGCCGACAATTTGGTGGGGTGCCTACATAATCCTCAATGCAAGTGCAAACGGCATTGTCATTGAAAACGCGGCATCGACTGTTGGGGCCACATGGCGAGGGAGCGCAAGGATTTATAGGCGGTTGATTTTGAACAGGCGGTGTATTACATTGAATGAAGGCATTGCCAATCATTCCGTCCGGACAGCGACACATGGCTATATGATTAAGTGCATCGCATATGGCATTGGGTGCACAAGTTCCAGGACAGGGATCGATACATTTGTTGCGAACGCATGCACGATCACGCGGACAGTCGCTATTAAGCACGCACTCTGGTCGGCAGCCCACATAGGGATCTCCTTGATATTCGGCTATGCATGTACATTGGCCATTTTGACACTGGGCATTAGATCCACAGGGCGACGGATTACAGGGATCATCGGAAACGATGGGTTTGGCTATTGACAAAGTGGCGAAATAGTTGACAATGTTGGATATATCATCTGTGCTGTTATTCTTACGTGGCTCACGCTGACAGAAGGAAAATGGATCACCTATAAATCCGTCAGGACACTGGCAGCTAGGTACATGATTTCGCACAGTACAAATGGCATTGTAGGCACAAGAGCCAGGGCAAGGATCAACACAACGTTGGTTTATGCAAGCCGAATTGGGCAGACATTCGGCACTCTGCGTACACTCAGGTCGACAGCTTGGTGGTACTCCAAAGTAACCAGCCAGACAGCTACACACAGCTTGATCATTTGACCGACGACACTGAGCATTAGCTCCACAGGGCGATGGCAGACAAGGATCGCGCACAGGTTCATGTTGCAGCTGAGTGGGAGGCGCTAAGATAAGGTACCATATAAATGGGTCAGTAGAACCGGGACAATTCGTTGACATAAAGTGACTTACGGGGTATGGGATAGCAACGGGTGAACGGATCTCCAGTAAATCCAGTCTGGCACGTACACAACGGAGCATGATTTGTGGCATGACAATGTGCATTGCTGCCGCATGCGCCTGGACAAGGATCAACACATTTCTGTTGTACGCAAGCTTTATCAAAGCTACATTCTGATGAAAGTGTACACTCAGGACGACAGCCAGGTGGACTACCCACATACTCGGGTAAGCAAGAGCACACTGCCTGCTCATTGAGCTCTTTGCATTGACTGTTGGGACCACATGGTGAGGGTTGGCAGGGATTAACATACTCGCGAATGGCTAAATAAAAATTGCAATGTATTCTAATGGGGCTAAAGGCAAACCAATTAGCTGCTTACGTTTCTCTTCTAAGCTGCAGTAACGATATGGATCGCCCACATAGTTGTTGAGGCAATTACAAGTCGGCAAATGGTTGCGAACATAGCATTCGGCATTGTAGCCACAGGCTCCCGGACAAGGATCGCGGCACTTTTGATTAACGCAGGCTCTATTAGATGCACAGTCTGAGTCAAGGACACATTCTGGTCGACAAGCTTCGTAGGGATTTCCAAAATACTCGGGCAAGCATCGGCATGAGCCAATGCCGTTTCGTTGATGACACTCGGCAAATGTACCACAAGGATTGGGATTACATGGTTGCGCCACTTCAGGTGGATCGTATTGAATTTGTTTGCATAGAATGAATGGATCACCGGTATAGCCTGATTGACATAAGCACATAGCGCTATGACTAAGTACACGGCACTCAGCATTAAGACCACAAAGACCCGGACAGGGATCCGTACAACGATTGTTTCTGCAAATCTGTGACGACGCGCAATCTGAGTTAGACAAGCATTCGGGTCTGCAGTTGGGTGGGGTTCCAAAGAAGTTCTCTAGGCATGAACAAGAGGGAGTACCTCCATTGCGACGGCATTCACTATTAGGACCACAAGGTGAGGGTTGGCATGGATCCTGAGGTGTTATATCTCGCAATGGTTCCACTATAGTTTTAACAGTTTCGTCAATTATATATATTATTTTGCTGTACTGTGAAAACTTACTAATTCTGTGACATTGAACAAACGGATTGCCTGTGTAGCCAGGCTGACAGCTGCAGAAGGGACTGTGACTAACTGCCCGGCAGTCTGCATAAGCACCACAGGTGCCAGGGCAGGGATCAACACATCGTTGGTTCTGACACGCCAGGCTAGGTGCACAGTCATAGTTGGTGGTACATTCTGGGCGGCAAGATGGTGGCACGCCGTAATAGTTTGGTAAACAACTGCATATAGCTTGACCTTGCCGTTCGCGGCACTCGGAGTTTGCACCGCAAGGTGACGGCTGACAAGGATTCTGATAAACCGGAGCTAAAGCGTGATTTCACTTGATTAGTTATTTTATCTCTTCAGTTACAGTTTTTAAACCTACTTTGTATGGGACTGCACTGAATAAAAGCGTTACCAGTCATTGCCACTGGACAGTGACACATGGCAATGTGATTGACCACTTCACAAATTGCGTTTACTCCACAGGTACCAGGGCAGGGATCAATACACTTTTGTTGGACACAGGCGAGATTTCGAGGACATTCAGCGCTCAATACGCACTCTGGACGACACGCGATATAGGGGTCGCCCTGATATTCGGAAATGCACGCACATTGCCCATCTCCCGAACAGATAGCATTGCTGCCGCATGGACTGGGATTACAGGGATCTCTAGGTTCGTTATAAGTTGGGGGCGCTGTAGGGAAAGTATTAAGAGTTGATCTACTCTGTACGTTAATGTCTTTTCCATATAGCTTACGTGGTGCAAGCCGACAAGCCACAAAGGCATCGCCCACGTAGCCATGGAGGCAAACACAGTTGGGCGTGTGATTGATAACACGGCACTCTGTGCGCTGGCCGCAAGCTCCTGGACAAGGATCGCGGCAACGTTCACCAATGCAAGCCAGATGACTGGCGCAATCTGCATTGATGGTACATTCAGGTCGACAATGGGGTGGGGTACCATAATAGTTAGTCTGGCAAGAACAAATCGCTTGACCATGTTGATTACGGCATGTGGCGTATAGACCACATGGTGAGGGTACGCAAGGGTCGCGATAAGGCACCACGTCTCGAACTGGTGCTGGAGCTAATTTTAACACAAATACTCGTTACGTCAACTTATAATATATACAAAAATATATCTTACGTGTTGGTCGAGGTAGGCAGCGAACAAATGGATCGCCCATGAGACCTGGAGGACACATACAAATTGGGCTATGGTTGCGCACCTGACATACCGCCTGTTGGCCACAAACACCCGGGCATGGATCAACACATTTGCGGTTAATGCATGCCTGGGTGGCTAAGCACTCAGCGCTAGAGGTACATTCGGGTCGGCAATTGGGTGGCACTCCCTTAAACTCGGGCAAACAGGAACAGACCCCTTGGCCCTGAACCTCACGACATTGGGCATTCGAGCCACAGGGTGAGGGCAAACATGGGTTTACATACTCATGAACAATCGCTAGCGGTTGGGTTAGGCAAATAAATAAGTACGTTTTCAATTAGTAACTACAATGCCACTACGAGCTGGTTAGACGAATCTACAAAATAAATTGGAACTAGCTTACGTTCTGCTGGCTGGTTACAGTAGCGATACGGATCTCCAACATATCCCGCGAAGCAGGAGCACATGGGTGTATGATTAACAACATTGCATTCAGCATTTTGTCCGCAGCTACCAGGACACGGATCCCGGCACTTTTGTTGTTGACACGCACGATTTGAAGGACAATCCGAATTTAGTATACATTCCGGTCGACATCCCTCGTAAGGATTGCCAAAGAAATCAGGTAAGCATTGACAGGCTCCGGCACCATTGCGTTGTATACACTCGGCATTGGAGCCGCATGGCGATGGCTGGCAGGGATTGATAATTTCCACATCCTTTTCTATTGGTTGGCATTGTGTAAATGGATCGCCCGTTAGTCCAGCGTCACAAACACACATAGGCGTATGTGAGACAACACGACATATGGCATTGGCTCCACAAAGTCCAGGACACGGATCGCGACATTTTTGGTTTATACACGCACGATTACTGGGGCATTCGGAGTTCGCGACACATTCGGGCTTGCAATAAGGCGGTGAGCCCACATATCCTGCTAAACATGTGCATGATGGTGTCTCCCCAATAGCGCGACATTCGGCATTAGCGCCACAAGGTGATGGGCGACATGGATCTTGGGGCTCAATGTCACGTTGGGGAGGCTCAACAATTAGTTGGCAGCCGACAAACGGATTACCCGTATAGTGAGGCAAACATGTGCAGAAGGGATTATGATTGACTACACTACACTGGGCACTGCGACCACAAGCGCCCGGGCACGGATCGATACACTTTTGATTGACACAGGCTAGTTGGGCAGCACATTCCGAGTTACTAGTGCACTCTGGACGACAAAGTGGTGGTGCGCCAATATAGCCAGGCACACATGAGCAGACAGCTTGCTGATTCGCCTCTCGGCATTGGGAATTCGGTCCACAAGGCGACGGCTGACAGGGTTGTACAATCGCAGGTGCTGCAAAGTAAATGATGCATAGAAATCTCGACTCTGTTTGGTCAATTTGGAAGAGCAGAATATTTACGTGGTATTGGATGACACTGCAGGAATGCATTTCCTGCATAACCTTCAGGACATGTACACATCGGTATGTGGTTAAGCACGGTGCACAGCGCATTTGGAGCGCATGTGCCTGGACAGGGGTCGAAGCATTTGTGAAGAGCGCAGGCTCTATCGCGCGGGCAATCTGAGCTAGTAAGGCATTCAGGTCGACAACCGCTGTAAGGATCGCCTAGATACTCTGGCAGACAGGTGCAGACACCGGCATTGCATACAGCGTTTGGACCACATGGCGAAGGATTGCAAGGATCGTCGGATTCTACAGCTACAAATTGAACAATAATGAAGCTGTTGATAGTGTTTGTTCAGTGCCTAGCTTACGTTTTGGTGGTGGTTCCGGTTGACAGTGACTAAAGGCGTCCCCGGTATATCCAGCTGGACAAGTGCAACTGGGTGTATGATTTATGACATTACAAATGGCACCAAAGCCACAGGAACCTGGACAGGGATCGCGACACTTTTCATTAATGCAGGCCTGACTGCTGGGGCAGTCTGAGTTGATTCGACACTCGGGGCGGCAGTTGGGTGGTACTCCCAAATAACCGGGCAAACAGGAGCAGGATGGTGCTTCACCACGTGGACGGCACTCAGCGTAAGAGCCGCAAGGTGAGGGCACACAAGGGTCGATCGGTTGTTTTTGCACAATTGTAGTAGGCGGAGCCGCTAAATCCGGAATGGAATCGTTACAATGGCATAACTGAAGGCAAGCAGAGCACTTACGAGGTATGGGTAGACAGCGGTAGAAAGCATCGCCCGTAAAACCAGTGCGACACGAACAAATTGGACTATGATTAACTACACGGCATAAAGCTTGATCACCACAAGTGCCTGGACAGGGATCAACACACTTCTTGGCCACACAGGCCTTGTCTGCCGCACACTCAGACGAGATTGTACACTCAGGTCGACAGATTGGTGGTGCACCCACATACTCGGGCAAGCATGAGCAAACAGCCTGTTCATTGCTCTCTCGACACTGAGAATTGGGGCCACAGGGAGAGGGTTGGCAGGGATTCACATATTGCTTGATAGCTATAGATGGAAAGGGTATTAATGACTAATATTTTTCCACTAAGAGAGGCATGAATAGTCTTACGTTGCCGTTCTGGTTGGCATAGGCGATACGGATCACCACTGTAACCAATTAAGCAGCTGCAGCTGGGCACATGATTGAGCACATTGCAGACAGCATTCGGACCACAGGTTCCGGGGCACGGATCTTGACACTTTTGTTGCTGGCAGGCACGGTTCGATGGACAATCAGAGTCGAGCACACATTCTGGACGGCATCCCTCGTACGGATTTCCAAAGTAACCTGGCAGACATTGACATGAGCCAGCATCCTGGCGGGATGTGCATCGAGCATTTGCGCCACATGGACTTGGATTGCATGGATCCAACTGATCCAATTGCTGAATTCTTTTCTCCACACACTGTACGAAGGGATCACCCTCCATATTGTCGGGGCAATAACAACTTGGTGTATGTGAAATTACTCGGCATACAGCAGCCTGCCCACATAAACCAGGACAAGGATCCCGACACTTTTGTTGCATGCAAGCCTGATTTGTTGGGCATTCCGAGCTGGTAACACACTCTGGTCGACAGTTCGGCGGTGCTCCAATGTAGTTTGGCAGGCAAGTGCAAGAAGGTGTCTCATTTACCTCACGGCACTCGGCAAAAGGTCCGCAAGGTGATGGCTGACAGGCCTGGCGCGGTGGAGGCGTTGGGGGCTCGATAATCGGTTGGCAGCTAACAAATGGATTGCCCGTATGGCGATCCAGACAACGACAGAATGGACTGTGGTTTGTCACATGACACTGGGCATTGCGACCACAGACACCGGGACATGGATCACTACACTTCTGATTAAGACAAGCCAAGTTCAGTGGGCATTCCGAGTTCGATGTGCATTCAGGTCGACAGAATGGCGGGCTACCGATAAAAGACGTAATGCAAGAGCAGATGGCCTGTTGATTTATCACGCGACATTGTGAGTTTGGTCCGCAAGGCGTTGGCTGGCAAGGATTTTGAACGACGTCGAGTTCTAAAAAAATGGTAATAAGCTGTAGAAGCGAAATGGAAACACGATATTGATGATGGCTTACGTTGCACTGGGCTGCAAGAGACAAACGCATTGCCTTCCATGCCATCTGGACAACGGCAGTTGGGTATGTGATTGAGCACCTCGCAAATGGCAGTGGTCGCACAAGTGCCTGGACATGGATCCACACACTTATGACGCACACAGGCAAGATTGCGGGCGCAATCTGTGTGCAGTACACATTCAGGGCGACAACCCACGAAAGGATCTCCTTGGTATTCAGGAATGCAGGTGCATTGACCATTACGACATTGGGCATTAGCCCCACATGGCGAAGGGTTGCAAGGATCCTGAGGTACTGGCGGGTCTTCAACTGATGGATAAGCTGAGTATTAAATTTGTCTGCTATTGAATTGAATCTCATAAAATTCTTACTTCTTTGAGGTGGTTCAGGATTACAGACAACGAAGGGATCACCAATATAACCCAACAGACAACTACAAATCGGTGTGTGATTTATCACATTGCACTGAGTATTCAGGCCACAGGAACCAGGGCAAGGGTCGCGACACTTTTGATTTATGCATGCCTGATGACTCGGGCATTCGGCATTGATAGAGCATTCTGGTCGGCAGTTTGGTGGAGTGCCTAGATAATTTGGCAGGCAGGAACATGATGGTGTTCCATAAACATCGCGACATTGTGAGTTGGCACCACAAGGCGATGGAACACAGGGATCAAGAGGTTCTCGTTCAATTGTCACAATAGGCGGGGCTAAAAATGTTTTGAAAGTATCCATTAGATTTGGGTACTTTGAAATAATAATAAAAGGCTTACGAGGCAGTTTATAGCAACGTGTAAAAGCGTCGCCTGTAAATCCATTTTTGCAAGTGCAGATAGGACTATGGTTTCGTACACGGCACTCGGCCTGTTGGCCGCAGACATTGGGACATGGGTCCACGCATTTTCGATTCACACAAGCCTTATCAGCAGCGCATTCGGAGCTACTGGTACATTCGGGCCGACAAGCTGGTGGACTGCCAATAAACTCAGCTAGACAGGAGCAGACAGCTTGCTCGTTAACTTCGCGGCAGCGCGAGTTAGGTCCACAAGGTGATGGTTGACAGGGATTTACATAGACACGTTCGGCTATAAAAAATTTGGTATAAACAGTCGGATCCACTGTGAGATTCGGCAGTGTGGGCTTACGTGGTTCGTTTTCTATAATGCGGCAAATGCTGTACGGATCTCCAGTGTAGCCATTCAGACAATTGCATGTGGCCAAGTGATTAATAACTTGGCATTCGGCGTTCTGTCCACATGTGCCAGGGCAGGGATCGCGGCATTTCTGCTGCTGACAAGCTCTATTCGAAGGACAATCTGAGTTGGTTACGCACTCCGGCCGGCAGCCCTCGTAAGGATTGCCAAAGTATTCAGGAAGACACTGGCATGAGCCAGCTCCGCCACGTTCTTCACACTTCGCATTGACGCCGCACGGACTTGGGTTGCATGGCTGTATCCGTTCGATCTGTGTTTCTCTTATGGGGCTGCACTGGGCAAAGGGATCTCCAGTGAATCCGCTATCACAAAGGCACATGGCTGTATGGCTGAAAGTGCGACAGTTCGCATTGAGCCCACATAGTCCTGGACATGGATCCACGCATTTCTGATTAACACACGCCTGGTTGGTAGCACACTCTGAGTTAGATATGCATTCTGGTCGGCAGTTCGGCGGAGACCCCAAAAATTCAGGCAAACAAGAACAGGATGGCGAATCACCTGAGACACGACACTCAGAGTTGGGGCCACATGGCGAGGGTTGACATGGATTTTGAGGTGTGACATCACGTTGGGGAACTACTGTAAGAATTCGATATTGTATGCCTGCCAAGTTTCCAAACATTTTAGATAACTTACTAATCTGTTCACAGCGCACGAAAGGATTGCCTGACATGCCTGCGGGACAACTGCAGAAAGGACTGTGGTTCACCACATTGCATAGAGCATTGAAGCCGCAAGTGCCGGGGCAAGGATCGCGGCACTTCATATTCTGGCATGCTTGATTGGCTGCACAATCTGAATTTGTAACACATTCGGGACGACATTGCGGTGGACTGCCTACATAATCAATCAGACAAGAGCAGACGGCGGTTTCCTGCACAACGCGACATTGGCTATTAGGTCCACAAGGTGATGGTTGGCAGGGATTCTGTGGCGGAGGTGCTGGCACTGAGCGGCATTCAAAGAATGCATTTCCCGACATTTGATCGGGGCACCGACAGATGGGCACATGATTTGTCACCTCACAAACTGCATTCACTCCACAGGTGCCGGGACAAGGATCGATGCATTTATTACGAATGCATGCACGGTTCTGTGGGCAGTCTGTGTTGAGAACACACTCTGGGCGACAGCCAACATATGGATCGCCCTGGTATTCGGCTATGCAGGTACATTTACCATCATTACATTGTGCATTGGCACCACATGGCGATGGATTGCAAGGATCGTCCCTGACAGGAGGTGTAGGTGCTGTAAAAAGTATAAATGGTGAACATTGTTGCAATCCTTTTGGAGTTTGACCTGGACACGTACGTTGCGGTGGCTTTGGATTGCAGTTCGTAAACGGATTACCAATATAGCCGTCAATGCAAGCACACAGCGGTGTATGGTTTATAACACTACAAATTGCATTTAATCCACAGGCGCCTGGACAGGGATCGCGGCATTTCTGATTAATGCATGCCTGCTGACTGGGACATTCGGAATTAATGGTGCACTCTGGACGACAGTTGGGTGCCTGACCAACAAACGTAGCTAAGCAGGAGCACGCTGGAACTCCATTAATGTTGCGACATTCAGAGTGTGGACCACAGGGTGTGGGCACGCAGGGATCGCGTAACGGCTCTGGTTGCACCTCTATTGGCCGGGCTACAGTGCATAAATAGATTTGGGTACAGTCGACATAACATTACGGCGAAGAATTTGGGCTTACGTGGTATAGGGAAGCATTGGGTAAAGGCATCACCAGTGAATCCACTGATGCAACTGCAGATTGGACTGTGGTTGCGTACTCGACAAATTGCATTGTTGCCACAGGTGTTGGCCACGCAGGGATTGACACATTTCTGATTTAGACAGGCCTTGTCTGCAGCACATTCCGATGAGATGGTGCACTCAGGTCGACAGGCTGGTGGCGCGCCAATGAACTGGGGTAGACAAGAACAGACGGCCTGTTCATTGGTAACGCGACACTGCGAGTTGGGACCACACGGCGTGGGCTCACATGGATTAGTGTATTCATTGCGTATAGCTACAGCAAAATAAGATGTGCAAAGGTTAGGATTGTGATTTTCACAAGTTGGCGGCGAGTTGCTTACGTTCCACAGGACGCGTACAAAGACGATACGGATCGCCAATGTATCCAGGTAGACAATTACAGGATGGTAGGTGATTGACTACTTGACAATTGGCATTTCGACCACAGGTGCCAGGGCACGGATCCTGACATTTTTGCTGTTGGCAGGCACGATTCGATGGACAATCGGAATCAAGAACACACTCGGGACGACAACCATCGTAGGGATTGCCAAAGTATTCAGGTAGACATTGACAAGATCCAGCTCCGTCTCGTTCGCGACAAATAGCATTCGCCCCACATGGGCTTGGGCTGCATGGCGTACGGACTTCGATATCACGTTCGATTTCTGGACTGCATTGGACAAATGGGTCACCAGTGAAGCCTTGCTGGCAGATGCATTGTACCACATGACTGACGACGAGGCAGTCAGCATTCAGGCCACAGCGGCCTGGGCATGGATCAACACATTTTTGGTTAATACAAGCCAGTTGGCTGTTGCAATCTGAGCTGGTAACACACTCCGGTCGGCAGTTTGGTGGACGTCCTATATATGTTTCAAGACAGGAACAAGCTGGTGCTTCTCCAATAGGTCGACATTGCGCGTAGGGGCCGCAGGGGGACGGCCGGCAAGGATCGATTGGCTGAATATCGCGCAGAGGTTCGACTGGGGATGAGCTATTATTGTAAAAGATTCTTTAGCTTCACATGACATGTACGCTTACTTTGTGGCTGACAACGTATAAAGGGATTTCCAGTGAAGCGCGTGGGGCAGGTGCAGAAGGGACTGTGATTGACAACCGCACAATCGGCGCCCACACCACAAGTACCAGGACATGGATCACCACAACGCTGATTGAGGCACGCTTGAGTGGGTGCACACTCGGCATTGGAAGTACATTCTGGTCTACACGTGGGTGGAGCGCCAATGAAGGTTGGCAAACAAGAACATACAGCCTGCTGGTTGACTTCGCGGCACTGAGAATTTGGACCACAAGGCGATGGTAGGCAAGGATTAGTGTCCACAACAATTTCTGTAGATAAGTTTCAACAATAAGTAAGGGAGAACAAATTGAGAACAACAAGGTCGACGTACTCGGCACGGGTGTACAGCGTATAAAGGCGCTGCCTGCGGTGCCATCGGGGCATCTACACATGGGTATATGATTGATTACATCGCAAATAGCGTTCTCGCCACAAGTGCCCGGGCACGGATTGAGACATTTGCTGCGCAGACAAGCCTTATCGCGCGGGCAGTCGGAATTGAGGACACATTCTGGACGACAACCCGCATAGGGATCCCCATGGAACTCGGGCAAACATGTGCATACACCGTCTCTGCATTGAGCATTAGGACCACACGGTGTTGGTTGACAGCGATCAACGTATTCGTCTAAAGATCGTAAGCAATTAGGGATATGTGATCCTTGTTTTTTTTTTAACTCACTTAATACAGGCTCTGGTGGAGCCAGACGACAGCTGCTAAACGGATCACCTGTATAACCTGTTGGACAAGTACATATGGGTGTGTGATTGACAACATTACATTCCGCAGCATAGCCGCAAGAGCCGGGACATGGGTCTATACACTTTTCTCGAATACACGCCATATTCGAGGCACACTCTGCACTGATAGTGCATTCGGGTCGGCAATTTGGCGGCGTGCCTATATATTCCGGTAGACAAGTGCAAGATGGAACTCCTTGCACATTGCGACACTGACTATTGAGCCCACAGGGTGTGGGTACACAAGGATCGCGTTCAACACGTTCAATGACAGGTGCGGGTGCTAAATTGAGAGAATTAATATTACAATGAGAGAATCGTCTTCGACTGCAACTAAATTTCTTACGTGGCATGGCATAGCAACGTGTAAAGGCGTCGCCCGTAAAACCGCGACGACACTGACAAAGTGGACTATGATTACGCACACGGCACTCGGCATTAATGCCGCAGGTGCCCGGGCAAGGATCCTGACAACGTTGACTTATGCATGCTTTATCAGTGGGACATTCGGTACTCAATACACACTCGGGTCGACAGTTGGGTGGCAGACCGATGTACAGTTCAAGACAGGAGCAAACCGCTTGGCCGTTAAGCTCGCGGCACTGGGAATTGGGGCCACAAGGTGAGGGTCGGCAAGGTTGAGTGGGTTCGGCTTGCCGTATAGCTGTAAATGGTATCTTATAGTCGTTGTTAATCTGCAGACATGGGTAGAGATGGATCTTACGTTGAGCGGGTTCCACATGACAGTAACGATACGGATCACCGGTGTAGCCGCTGCGGCACGTGCACGTGGGTAGATGTGCCGTTACGCGGCAATCGGCATTTGTACCACATGTGCCAGGGCAGGGATCGCGACACTTTTGCTGCTGACATGCCTTGTTCGATGGACAGTCGGAATTACGTACGCATTCCGGTCGACACGACTGGTACGGATCGCCAAAGTAATCGGGCAGGCACTGGCAAGCGCCAATGCCATTGTGCTCACGGCAAACGGCGTTTGATCCACAGGGATTTGGTTCACATGGTGTGATCTGTTCATTGACTATTTTATCTGCACTCGGGAAAGACGGTTAAGAGCGACAGAGCGGGTGTGGAAGAAAAGAGAGTTTTGGCAATAACTTTAATAACTGTTCTTTAGTTTTGCGGGTTTAGTACGAACAAACACACCTGGCAATTGCTTTAGTTTTAAGCATTTTATTTGCAGTTCATTATTCCAATTGGGTGTTTGGTTTTTATTTTGTTGGCAGTGAGATTAGAGCACGGATTAAATGTTGGCATTTTCCAATTAATTTGTTTTGAATTTTGACGCAAAAAGTTTCTTTTTGCGCGGCAGGTTTTAGTTTTTAGTGTTGTTAAACGCAGTGCGTTGCAGTGAGTTGCATATTGTGGTGCAGTGCGCAGTGTTGTGTGCAGGGCTGCATAATGTAATATGCGCAGTATGGTTTCATACGTTTTGTGACGTCATTAAAACAAGTGTTTCGTGTCATCTTATATCAATCGATTTATTGCATTTGTTAAATGAATTAAATATTTGGCACTACAGAGTTACAAATCTAAGTTCTTAAACATAGTATATTAACTAATTACTAGTAATCAATAAGCGCTTTTTAGTTTCATGTAGTCTTTGGTAATTGTTGATAATCCTTTGGCGATCCGATGTTACAATTATACTTTATAAAAGGGCACAAATTTTGGGCGATAACAACGCAGTACTCAATTTCGAAGGGGGTTTTTGTCTTTCGGTATTTTAAGAATTTTCAATTTCGGGTTAGGTAATCGAATTCAGAGGTTAAGTATTGAAAAATTGTACGCATTTGGGTCAAACAAATTGGTATAAGTATAAGCATTTCATGGGTCCGAATTCAATTCATACAACAGGGCCAAAATATTACTTCCCAAAGCATCAAAAACGACAAAGTCAGGGGGTTAGGGCAATTCAAGGCGTTTTGTTGAGGCATTTTACTTATACATATATAGTGTGACAAAAAGGCGTGGCAAGTTTGCATATTGTATTGAGGCGTTAAAGGCGTTTAAAAGCAAATATAATATAGTGTCAAAAATATAATCTTAAACTAATTAAAAATATTGACTACTGCCGCACACAAACACTTCCTCGGCCAGCAACAATTCAGACAACTCGTACAGAACTGTGCGACCTTAGACTTGCATTTCGCTCCAGTGTTGATAAACAATGAAATGATGATATATTTGAAAACACATATTTTGCAATGCAGTGTGCTTGTGCGTGCAATAAACAAAACTTTTAATATAAATTCGTGTAAATGGTGTGTTTAAAAACTCAAAATCAATGCGCATTAAAATAAATTGACAGTGCTTGAAGTAATTTGTTCAATGTAAAAAACAAAGGGGGAATGCAGTTTTTTTTTTTTTCAAATTCAAAATATCGCGATAGCTTAATTTGCAAATATACGATTTGTACGTTAAAAAACATCGCATACAAAAAAAAAATTTAAGTACATTTTCAATAATGTAATAAAAATGAATCAAATTTGCATTTGTAATTTTTTTTGATGCGCATTTCAAACATGTGAAACTGATTGTGTTTTAAGGGGAAAACAAATATATGTAACTTGAGTTCAGGGGCAATTTATGATTATAATAAAATATGGCACGATTTGTGAGGTATTTTATTTCAGTTTCACATTCGGATTTCCCTATCAAGGCGTAAACAAATGCGAATACGTGTAATTGCAGTGAATCTCCAGTAAAGCTTTGTCTTTTAGGCAGGTGTTCAAAAATTTGGGCAGTGGACATTGATTTAAGCAACCTTAACCAAGCTAGTTTACGCCTTGACCTAACTACGAGTGTATTGTGTGTAATAAATGAAAACGGATTCCTACCTTGTTCCTGTTGACAGCCGGTGAAAGGATCTCCTGTATAGCCCACATCACATGTGCAGATGGGTTGATGATTGGCCACGATGCAGCGGGCATTGAAGCCGCAGGCGCCCACGCAAGGATCGGCGCACTTCTGACGTATGCAAGCTTTAGTTGGCGAACATTCCGGATTAATGGTGCACTCGGGTCGACAGTTGGGTGGTGTGCCGATAAATGTTGCCGCACACGAACAGGCTGGATTTCCGTTAAGTTCTTTGCACTCTGAATTCGGTCCACATGGTGATGGCACGCAAGGATGGCTGGGAGCCTCTGGTGGGGGCTTACGTTCTTCCTGATAGCAGCGTGTGAACGGATCACCCGTATAACCAGTGTTGCATGAGCAAGACGGATTGTGATTGATCACTTGGCAGCGAGCGAACTGACCGCAAGCTCCTGGGCAAGGATCGAAACATTTCTTTTGTATGCAGGCCGTTTGCAGGGAACACTCTGAGCTGACAATGCACTCGGGCTTGCAAGCAGGTGGTGAGCCCAACATGCCTGGCTGGCAGGCACAAACAGCACCCTGAGCAGAGACGTGGCATAAGCTATTGGGTCCACATGGGTTTGGTTGGCAAGGATCTTTGGGCACCGGCGTCTCCTGACGGCAATGGACAAACGGATCACCCGTGTAGCCTTGCAGGCAGCTGCAGATAGGTATATGATTTGAGACATCACATTGTGCATTCTGTCCACAGGTTCCGGGGCAAGGATCGACACACTTCTTGTTCAGGCAAGCCTTATTTGGCGAGCAATCTGTGCTAAGCGTGCACTCTGGACGGCAGCCGGTGTAGGGATCACCCTGATATTCAGCTAGGCAGGTACAGATTCCGTTATTGCATTCGGCATTGGCACCGCATGGTTGGAGATCACACGGATCCAGTGATGTGGGAGGTGGCTGCGTTGTCTTTTCAACAACCTCGACACATTGCACAAACGGATCGCCGGTAAAGCTGCCGCGGCACGTACATATAGCCAGGTGATTTTGAACACGGCACTCGGAGTTAATACCGCAAGATCCTTCACAGGGATTGCGGCACTTCTCTGCAATACAAGCACGATCAGAGGCACAATCAGTGTTGACAACACACTCGGAGCGGCAATTGGGCGGTGCTCCAATATAGTTTGGCAAGCAAGAGCAGGATGCCTGATCACCACGCACACGGCACTCGGAATAAAGGCCGCAAGGCGAGGGCTGGCAAGGGTTCTTGGGGGCGTCCTTTGGCTCAGCAACTTCCGGTGCTGGATAGCAGCGCGCAAACGGATCGCCTGTCATGTCGATGGGGCAACTACATATGGGATTGTGATTGATGACCTCGCACTTGGCATCAATGCCGCAAGTGCCGGCGCATGGATTTGCGCAGCGGAACTTATGACACGCCTTGTTCTGTGGGCATTCAGCATTCACCGTACACTCCGGCTTGCAGTTGGGCGGTGCACCAACAAAGGTATCCAGACAAGAGCATACAGCCAGGCCATTGGCAAGGCGGCACTTGCTGTTAGGGCCACAAGGCGACGGGCTGCATGGATCGGCCACAGTTGGCGGTGGAGTTACTTCAACACGACGGCAGTTGGAGAACGGATCGCCCGTATATCCGTCGTTGCAAACGCAGTTGGGCACATGATTGATAGCATAGCATTGAGCATTGGAGCCACAGATACCCGGGCAAGGATCCTGACATTTGTTCCTTATGCAAGCCTTATCCGTGGAGCAGTCCGAGCTGAGCACGCACTCTGGTCGACAGCCTTCGTAGGGATTGCCCTGATATTCGTCAATGCATTTGCAAGCGGCGGCTCCATTGCGTTCAATGCATTCAGCGTTGGCGCCACATGGGGAGGGCTCGCATGGCTTCGGTTGCTCTTCACGCTGCTGCACGCACTGTACGAAAGCATTGCCAGCATATCCGGGCGGACATGAGCATGAAACAGAGTGGCCAATAACGCGGCATTCGGAGTTCGTGCCACACGATCCGGGACAGGGATCGCGACACTTGTTATTTATGCATGCCTGTGTCGAGGGACAATCTGGATTAATGATACATTCGACTCGGCAGTTGGGCGGAGCTCCAAAGTACTCTGGCAGACATTGGCAAACAGGTCCCTTGTTATCAGCTTTGCATATGGAGTTGGGTCCACAGGGCGATGGCACGCATGGATCGCTGGGCGGCGGCTTTTGATCAACATCCTTCTGCATGGGTATTTCGGTGCAGCCCTTGAATGGATCTCCAGTTGTGCCTGGAGGACAGCCGCATATGGGACTGTGATTGATAACCTCACAGCGCGCTTCAAAGCCACATGCACCAGCACAGGGATCTACGCACTTTTTGTTGACGCACGCTTGAACTGCTGAGCACTCGCTGGAAACGACACACTCTGGTCGACATTGTGGTGGCGCTCCAATGAAGCCTTCCAGGCAGGAGCATACCGCGTGTCCATTAATATCGCGACATTGGCTGTTGGCACCGCATGGCGAGGGTGAGCAGGGTTTGGGTGTTTCCACAGGTTCTATTGGTTTTGGTCGGCAATTAGTGAACGGATCACCCTCATAGCCTTGCTGGCAGGAACAGACGGGTATGTGATTCATAACTTCGCAAATGGCATTATTTCCACATGTTCCTGGACAGGGATCCACACACTTGTTGCGCATGCAAGCCTTATCCCGTGAACAGTCCGCAGACAGTGTGCATTCCGGACGACAGCCCTCGTAGGGATTACCTTGATAGTTGTTCTGACAGCGGCATTCACCGGCAAAGCAGTCAGCATTGGGTCCGCAGGGACTGGGACTGCATGGATCATCGGGTCGTGAGACCACCTTTTCCTCTGGCAGCTTGCTGCAGCGTACAAATGGATCGCCAGTGAAGCCATCGATGCAGTTACATATTGGCAGATGGTTAAGCACATGGCACTTGGCCTCAAAACCGCACGAGCCAGGGCAGGGATCGCGACACTTTTGATTGATGCACGCCTCCGTGGGGCCACACTCTGAGTTCAAAACGCACTGAGGTCGGCAACGTGGGGGTGCGCCAATAAAGTCGGGCAGGCAAGAGCATGCTGGACTGCCACCCACAATTTGACATTTCGCATTAGGGCCACAAGGCGAGGGTACGCAGGATGGTGCAGGTGGTTCGGGCGTGGTTACGTCGTTTGTAATCGCTGCAAGTTGGAAAGATTTCGTATTAGAATCTAAAAGTTAACATTAAGTTCAATTGATTACTTACGTATTTTGGTACATTGTACGAACGGATCGCCAGTCATTCCGCGTGGGCAGGTGCAAATCGGACTGTGATTCTTGGTGCTGCAGATAGCACGAATGCCACACGTGTGCAGGCAGGGATCCACGCACTTGTTGTTGACGCAAGCACGCTCTGGGGCGCACTCCGCGCTGACAACACACTCGGGACGGCAGTTTGGCGGTTGGTTGACGAATCCTGATTGACAAGAGCACACAGCTTGGTTGTTCATGCTGCGGCAATTGCTGTTGGGGCCGCAAGGCGATGGCACACACGGATTTATAGGTGGCGGTGGTGTAACCGGTACAGGTCGGCAGCTAAAGAATGGATCACCGCTGTAGCCGTCCGGGCAAACACAGGTGGGCACATGGTTGTCTACCGTACAGATCGCAAATTCACCGCACATATTTGCGCATGGGTCAATGCACTTGAAGCGCACGCATGCCTGTGCTGGGCTGCACTCATCGTTCGTCTCACATTCGCGACGGCAGCCTCGCTGCGCATCGTAGGGATTTCCCTCGAAGCCGTCGTGGCAGTAGCATGCACCGGCACCGTTGCGTTCACGGCACTCGGCGTGTGGACCACAGGGCGAAGGCTCGCACGGTGATGATGGTGGTTGCGTGGGTAATACTGGTGGTATGAGCTGACAGCCGAATAGCGGATCGCCCTCATAGCCATCGGCACAGGAGCAAACTGCATTGTGTTGAACCACCTGGCAAATGGCATTGCTGCCGCATGAGCCAGGGCAAGGATCAACGCAGCGCTCCTGTTGGCAGGACAGATGATTTTGGCATTCGTCGTTGGTGGTGCACTCTGGCCGACAGCTGGGCGGACGTCCAATATAGTTGGCCCGACATGAGCAGGCAGCTTGTTGTCCAATTTCACGGCAAATCGAGTTCGGTCCACAAGGTGAGGGCACGCATGGATTTTCTGTGCTCTTGCCCACATCTGGTACACATCCGGAGATAGGATCACCCGTCATGCCTGGTACACAGCTACAGATGGGATTGTGGTTAACCACTTGGCATTTGGCATTGTCTCCGCAAGCTCCGCGGCACGGATCAGCGCACTTCTGGTTGATGCATGCACGATTCTGTGCACACTCTGAGCTGACCACACATTCAGGCTTGCAGCTCGGTGGTGCTCCAATATACCCTTCCAGGCAGCTGCAGACCGCATGGCTGTTGGTATCGTGACACTGGCTATTGGGTCCACATGGTGAGGGCTGGCATGGATTTTCGGGACGACGGGTAACGACTTCAATTATCGAACAAGAGTGATGCGGATCCCCAGTGTATCCATCAAAGCACATACAGTTGGGCGCGTGATTCAATACACGGCACTCGGCATTGATGCCGCATGCACCCGGACATGGATCCTGACACTTGTTGTTAATGCATGCGCGTGAACGATCGCAATCGGGATTTTGCACGCATTCCGGACGACAACCGCTGTACGGATCACCAAAGTACTCGGGCAGGCAGGAACACGAACCGGCGTTGTTGCGTTCACGACATACGGCATTGGCGCCGCATGGGCTTGGATTACAGGGATTGCGTGAGGCTTCCGTTGGCGTGACTAAAGAATATGTTGAGTGGGGAAGAAGATAATATGCAAATATAAATGTTAGAAATGTGCTGGAGAAAAAGGATAAATTTGTATACTTTGGTGTATAATGGCACAGCCGGAGAAAGGATCTCCGGTGTAACCAGGCTCGCATTGACAGTTCGGATTATGCTTAATAACAGTACACTGCGAGTGTATGCCGCATGCACCGATACATGGGTTTGCACAGCGCTGGTTAACACATGCCAAGTTGGCTGGACAATCGGGACTAGTCATGCATTCGGGTCGGCAGTTGGGTGGCCGGCCGAGATAATCGGGCAGGCAGGAGCATGCAGGCGAACCGCGTATATCGACGCATTTCGAGTTGGGTCCGCAGGGCGAGGGCACACAGGGATTACCAGGTTCTTTGGGTGTTTCCTCCACTACATAGCCAAGCCAGACATGCCAGATAGTTGAAGTAAGTGTATACCCACACAAACACATTTACACATATACAAATACATAGTACAGTTGGGAAGTTCGGATAGTGTAGAGTAGTAATTGGTAGAGTGTACATAAAATCAAAACATAAAGTAGAAAAAAAAATAAAGAAAAAGATTAAGGTGAAGGATTGATATACATGCAGGAAAGAATCAGAAAACCAACGCCAGCTGGACAGAAATACATATACTTGCAAATAAAATTTAACCTCTATACCCCTTTCCCACTCGCGCTCTCTTTCTCTCTCTATATCTCTGTCCAACTGACCTAAGCATCTGTATGGACTACTCATGCTTACATATAATTCGAGTGCATCGATTGAAAGGATCTCCAGTGTAGCCTGGGGCACAGGAACATGCAGGGTAGTGATTAATGACCTGGCAACGAGCTTCAATGCCGCAAGTGCCTGGGCATGGATCCACACACTTCTGATTCTGACAAGTGAGATCTTGGGCGCAGTCTGAGCTAACTATGCACTCAGGCCTGCAATTAGGCGCTGAGCCAATCATGCCGGGCTGGCACGAGCACACGGCATGGTTGTTTATTTCCCGACATTGACTGTATGTACCGCAAGGGGAAGGCACACAGGGATTATCATTGACTTTGGCTAGGAACGATAAAGGGTAAATGACGGTCAGTCGCTTGAGGGACACTTGTTTGCATTATAAACCTACGTGGTTCAGGCAATTCGATTATTTCACGGCAAGCGCTTGACGGGTTTCCAGTGTAGCCGGCCAGACAGAAGCAGCTGGGCAAGTGATTGGACACGCGGCATTCTGCATTCAAGCCACAAACACCTGGACAAGGGTCCACGCATTTCTGGTTGATGCAAGATCTGTCGCGTGGGCAATCACTGTTCACCACACACTCTGGACGGCAGCCGCTGTACGGATCACCAAAATATTCTGGCAAGCATGTACAGGAGCCGGCGCCATTGCGTTCACGGCACTCTGCATTGGGGCCGCAGGGCGAGGGCACACAAGGTGTTAAGCGTTCGTCGGGCACGGTAATAGCTAAGGATCATACATATCAGACAGTCTATTAGGTCTAGTCACAGCAAGCTGATGGAGTTGAATGCTTACGTTGCGGATTGCAGCCAGCAAACGGATCGCCCGAGTAGCCGCTCTCACAGGTGCAAACAGGTGAGTGATTTACAACATTGCAGAAAGCATTGAAACCGCACGAGCCGGGACAGGGATCCTTGCAGCGCTCGTTAATACAAGCCAGATTACCAGCGCATTCAGAATTTCGCGTACATTCTGGACGACAATTTGGCGCACGTCCAATATAGTTTGGCAAACAGGAGCAGACACCCGTCTCTCCAACCACGCGGCACTGTGAGTTGGGACCGCAAGGGCTGGGCACGCATGGATTCTCGTTGGACTTTGGAGTTTCGGGCTCCAGTTGCCACGGTGTGCAACGCACAAACGGATCACCACTATAGCCAGCTGGGCATGAGCAAATGGGATTGTGATTGGTCACCTTGCACACGGCCTCATTACCGCAGGTGCCTGGACATGGATCTACACAGCGCAAATTCACGCACGCCTTATCTTGCGCGCACTCGGAGCTAACCGAGCACTCGGGACGACAGGCGGGCGGTGCACCAATATAATTGGCAATGCACGAACAGACGGCATGTCCATTCACCTCGCGGCACTGGCTATAGGGGCCGCATGGCGATGGCTGACATGGTTGGACAGGCGGTGCCACTATAAGAATTTTAGGGGTGAAATATTACTAAACTATTCTTTATAAGATTCCCTAATTCTTTTTGGAATACTCTACATTTGGGTATTTCACGGCAATACTGTGACGGATTGCCCGTATAACCGGCTGGACAACTGCAACTGGGCGAATGATTGATGACGTGACATTCAGCGGCAACACCGCAAACTCCTGGACAGGGATCTCTGCACTTGTTATTGAGGCAGGCGCGGTTCTTGGAACAGTCGCTATTGAGTACACATTCTGGACGGCATTCAGTGTACGGATCGCCACTGTAATCGGGCAGACACGTGCAGGAGCCGACGCCGTTGCGTTCCTTGCAAACAGCGTTGGCACCACACGGACTGGGATTGCAGGGTTCCGCAATTTCCGGCGGCACAATAACTAAGAGAATATTGAAATATTTGTAGTTTGAAGTTGTACGTTGACTGAGCGCTAACGCTTACTTTGTGGACTACACTCAGAGAATGGATCGCCAACATAGCCTTCAAGGCAACGGCAAATTGGTCTATGATTATTTACAAGGCATGTGGTCTGAATGCCACAGGTGCCCACACATGGATTCTGACAGCGCAAATTGATGCAAGCCAAGTTGCCAGCGCACTCGGAGTTTGACGTGCACTCTGGCCGGCAATTTGGCGCCCTACCCACATAATGTTGCAAGCATGAGCACACCGGTTGCTCATTAGCCGACACCCTGCACTGCGAGTTGGGTCCGCATGGCGAGGGCACACACGGATCGATGCGATCACTTACAATAGGTCGTTCTACATTTACCAAATACACCAAATATGATAACAGCATGCACCACAATAAAAGCCACATAATATTGTACATATAAAAAAGAAAGATATTTAGAAATATATAGTATGACATAAAGAGGTGATGTTGTGTATGGGTTGAAATGAGAGATGCAAGCCAAAGCAAGCTTTTGTCTTATGAAGTGATGAAATGGTGTTTTCTTACTTTCTTGAGGTAGGCAGCGTACGAACGGATCGCCACTGTAGCCAGGACTGCAGGAGCAAATGGGATTGTGATTGACGACGCGGCATAAAGCATTGTGGCCGCATGTACCAGGGCATGGATCTTTGCAGCGCTCGTTGATGCACGATTTGTCTTGACTGCATTCCGAACTGCTCATGCATTCCGGCCGGCAGTTGGGTGGTGCGCCCACATAGTTTGGCACACACGAGCAGACGGCATGCCCGTTAACTGCACGACAAATGCTGTATAGACCGCATGGTGAGGGCTGACATGGATTTTCGGGCACAATGGGATCGGGATCTAGACACATTGTAAAGTGTGCTATTAATTATGGGTTGTGTTTTCAACGCGGCTCAAGTCTTACAGCGCGGTATATCGGAAACGAGATGACAACCGACGATAGGATTTCCTGTATAGCCCGGCAAGCATTCACAGTTGGGCGCATGATTGAATACGGCGCATTGGGCACTATGTCCGCACATGCCCGGACATGGATCGACGCACTTCTGATTTACGCATGCGCGGGATTTGGGGCAGTCGGAGTTGATTACACACTCGGGTCGGCACTCGACATATGGGTCCCCAAAGTATTCGGGCAAACATTTACATGCTGCGGCGCGGTTACGTTCCTCGCATAAGGCATTTAGACCACAGGGGTTGGGTCGGCAGGGTTGTGTGGTTTCGACAGGTACTATTTGTTTAACAGACAACATAATTGAATGCATTGACATAAGATGTTTAGGAAATGTTTGGTTTAAGGATGGGACATACTTTCTATTATCTTGTAGCAGCCTGAGAATGGATCTCCAGTGTAGCCTGGCTGGCACATGCACACGGGCGCATGGAAGCTGACATGACATAGGGCGTTATTGCCACAGGATCCAATGCATGGATCGGCACATCGCGCATTCATGCATGCCATACGCGTCGGACACTCTGAGTTAATGGTACACTCAGGACGACAAGCTGGCGGACGTCCTATGTAATTGTTGAGACAGGCACAGACGGCACCGGTACTTGAGACTTGGCACTGTGAGTTGGGACCGCAGGGCGATGGCACGCAAGGATTTGAGGGTCTTATAGGATCAGGTACGACTATTGGCTCTACAAGCATGGTAAGATTGAAACATTTTAATTGGTGCTCTCTAACGGAGTGTTTGGGGGGCGACGTACTTTGCTCTGGTAAGCACTGATGGAATGGATCCCCAGTATAACCGTCAAAGCAGCTACAGATGGGCGCATGGTTTGTTGTGCGACAACGCGCATTGTAGCCACATGTACCGGGGCAGGGATCGCGGCATCTCTGATTGACACAGGCTCTATCTGGGGCACACTCAGCACTTGTCAAGCACTCGGGCTTGCAGTTGGGTGGGCTGCCCATATAGTCGGGCAAACAAGCGCAGACTGGACGGCTACCAACCACTTGGCATGTACTGAAGAGGCCACAGGGTGAGGGCCTGCATGGATCTTTGGGCAGTGGTAAGTACATGTCTAAAATCAGGAAGCTTAACTTATTAAGAGACTCTCTATTATTTAGTTGGGGCTGCATACTTGTGGGTCGTTCCACGCAGGCACGTAGGGGATTGCCTGTAAAGCCTGGCTCACAACTACACACGGGCTGATGGTGAGCAACGCGACAAATCGCATTAAAGCCACAGGCATTCGCACAGGGATCGCGACACTTCATATTGATACAGGCTTTGCTACCGGGACAATCACTATTCTGCACGCATTCGGGTCGGCAATTGATGTATGGATCTCCGAAATAATTCTGAATGCAACTGCATGAGCCAGCACCGTTGCGTTCGCGACAAACGGCATTTGCACCACATGGCGATGGATAGCATGGATCAGAGGGTACATCGGGTACCACAACTGAATTATGAGCACACGAAAGTAGGCATAGATGTGGGAAGCGAGTGGATAATGCATACAATAAATTAAAGATATACATACATATACAGGTAGGCTTAAAACTAGAAATGTAAATACAATACAATAAATACAAATTGGATTTCACCAGAGTCGTGAAATATATAATATATCCTGTACCCATGTCTACATCTAAAAGGAAATTACTCTTAATAAAATAGATTTCAATTATAAATCTCTTTGGCAAGGAATTAAAAATAACTTGAATTTATCACAGTTATTGAAAAAGCTTTTAGCTATGTTCATAGGCACAAGATATACGTAAATGATGAAATATGTAGTATGGAGAGAGTATGTACACAATAGAAAAAACATGCATAATGATAGAACCAGATGCCCCTTTATCTAAAATACCACTGAAAAAAACATTTAACATTAAGAAGCCAATAGGCGCTACAGTTGAAACAAAGGAGTTTAACTGTTTTTGTGGAAAGGATAGCAAATAATCGAAAGGAGTGGACTCACTTTGATGCATGTTGCAACCCGTGTACGGATCGCCTTCATAGCCATCAAGGCAGCTGCACTTGGGCTGGTGGTTCTGAGTGGTGCAGAGCGCGTTGAAGCCACAGGTGCCAACGCAAGGATCTTCGCAGCGTTGCCGTATGCACGCTCTGTTCGAAGGGCAGTCCTGGTTAATAACACACTCGGGTCGACAGTTGGGCGGCGCTCCGAACATGCCCGGCGCGCAAGAGCATTCGGCGCGATTGTTGACGTCGCGGCACAAGGCATTTGGTCCACACGGATTGGGAAGGCAGGGATTCACAATCGGTATTCGTTCAGCAGCTGCAAGAAGAGATGAGTACACGTTGAGACATATTGAATTGACTTGGTTTTAGTTTGACGTGACTTACGTTTGGGCACACATTGCTCAAATGGATCTCCGACATAGTCCTTGGGGCAGGTACATATTGGATTATGATTGTTCACCTGGCACTTGGCATTGAAGCCGCATGTGCCACTGCATGGATCGGCGCACTTTTGATTGATGCAAGCCAAGTTCTGTGCACACTCAGAGCTGACCACGCACTCGGGCCGGCATGTGGGTGGTGCACCGAAATAGCCAACCTGGCAGCTGCATGTGGGATGGCCCTCGATTGTGCGGCATATGCTGTTCGGTCCGCACGGATTGGGCTCACAGACGCTGATTGGTCCCACAGGAGTGCGCTTGCAGCCCACGAATGGATCGCCCTCGAAGCCGCGCGTACAACTGCATGTGGGCAGGTGGTTGACCACAGCGCACTCGGCATTAGGGCCACAGGCGCCGGTGCAAGGATTACGGCAGTGCTGCTTAATGCAAGCTAATGACGAGGGACATTCCGAATTATAGATACATTCCGGTCGGCAGCCAGTGCTGTACGGGTCCCCAAAGTAGGGCTCAATACAGCTGCAGCGAGCGGCTCCATTATGGGGCGTGCACACTGCATTCTCGGCGCAGGGATTCGGATAGCAGGGATTATAATGATCATCTGGTTCTGCAATAGGTCAACGATGTCATATTAGGCAACATATTATCAGGGAACCACGTTCAACTTACTCTGTGTTATGACCTTTGAGCAGCCCACAAAGGCATCGCCCTCGTATCCTGTGTCGCAGCTGCAATGCGCTGAGTGCGCAACGACCGTGCAGCGGGCATTGTGGCCACAAGTGTTGGCACACGGGCTCTGGCATTTCTCCTGTATGCATGCCTTGTCTGCGGGACATTCACTGCTCAAGGTGCACTCGGGTCGGCAATATGGCGGACTGCCTATATAGTTGGCAACGCACGAGCAGACCGGTCGATTCTGTTTGATTTGGCAGATTGAGTTGGGACCGCAGGGCGAAGGCACGCAAGGATTTTGTGGGGATTTGCCATCCGGTGGCGGTTCTGGTATACGCGAGCAAGCCACGAACGGATCACCCTCGAAATGCGATTCACATGAGCAAATCGGATTGTGATTCAGTACCTCACAGCGTGCCCCGATGCCGCAAGTGCCAGGGCAGGGATCTGCACAGCGTTGATTGATGCACGCCTGGCTGGGAGCGCACTCCGAGCTGACCACACACTCCGGCTGGCAGACGGGCGGTGCGCCCTTGAAGTTGGGCAGACAGGAGCAAGCGGCATAGCCATCTGTGGACGCCAAGCATCTTGAGTTGGGACCGCAGGGAGATGGCTCGCACGGATTGCGACTTTCGGTAGGTGGCGGCAAATAATAGGGACTGCAAGACAGGAAGGCATCGCCACTAAAGCCATCGGCGCAGACACAAACCGGTGCATGGTTGACGACGCGGCACACGGCATTGATGCCACAAACACCCGAGCAAGCGTCTACGCATTTGGAGTTCAGGCACGCCTTCTCCGCGGGACAGTCACTGTTGAGCACGCACTCGGGGCGACAGCCGATGTAGGGATTGCCAAAGTAGCCCTTGCGACAAATGCAGGCCAAGCCTCCGCTTTGGCGTTTGCAATCGGCGTTTGGTCCGCACTGTAGCTTGGCACAACTAGCCGTAGGAGTTGGTACGATTGGGGAGGGTGGTGCGCATTGTTCGTAGGGATTGCCAAAGAGTCCAGCGGGGCACGTACATATTGGGTTGTGTTCGTAGACGTTGCAAATCGCGTTACGTCCACACGAGCCGGGGCAGGGATCCAAGCAGCGTTGTCCCAAACAGGCGCGGTCAAATGGACAGTCCGAATTGGTAACACACTCCGGTCGGCAACGCGGGTTTTGCTGAGCATTGGGCCCAAAGCAGGGATCACACAGTGCTACTCCATCGCCATATACAGAGCACACATCACTTGGTCCACAAGGTGACGGGGCACATGGATCACGGGAGATATTCTTTAAGATACCTATCGGCACACACTGTAGGAACGCATCTCCGGCGTATCCGTCGAGGCAGTGGCACACTGGTGTATGTTGACGGACGTTGCAAATGGCATTGATGCCGCAGATGGTGCCGGCACATGGATCCACACACTTGTGATTGATACAGGAGAGCGATTCTCCGCAATCGGAGTTAATGTCGCATTCTGGCTGGCAGCCAGATTTAGGATCACCCAAATATCCGGGCAGGCACGAGCACACAGCCCGATTATTTAGCAATTTGCATTCGCTGTTCAGGCCACACGGACTTGGCACACAAGGGTTGCCCTTAGGCTGGTCCAGAGCAAAGCAACGCACGCCAGGATTACCGGTTAGGCCAGCATTGCACGAGCAAACGGGATGATGTTGTTCCACACGGCAATTGGCTCCGTAGCCGCATGCACCGGGGCAAGGATCGTAGCAACGGAAACCCATGCAGGCCTTGCTCTGTGGGCAATCAGCATCCACTTGACATTCATAGCCATGGCATCCCAAAAGGGATGTTGGATCGCCAGACAGGCCCTCGGGACAGACGCAAGCAGTTTGGCCATCGCCAGCAACAACGCAGTTAGCATTGGGTCCGCAGGGATTGGGATCGCACACAGTTCGACTTGTTTCAATACAGCCCTGGTAGGGATCTCCAGCGTAGCCAGAGCGGCAGTAGCACTCCTCGCGATTGCCCGCCACGTAACAGTCAGCGTTACGGCCACACGGACCCGGCTGGCACAGCTCAATAGAAACGGCTGGCTTTTCGCAAATTCTGAAGGGATTTCCAATCTTGTTATCCGGACAATAGCAGACGGGCTGACGCGAGGAGTCACAGATGGCGCCAGTGCCGCAAGGATTAGGTTCGCAAGGATTGATCGGCTCGACGCAGCCACGAATAGTGTTGGGACTCTCCACATAGCCGGGCAGGCAGGTGCACTTCGAGAAACCGTTGCTGAGAACAGCGCACTGCGTGTTGGGACCACAAGGCGAAGGCTCGCATGGATTTGTTGGAAGCTCACAAGGTATTTGTGGAGGTTGACCTTCGTATTCGGGCAAGCAGAAGCAAACGGGAGCACCGTTAACCCGGCGGCAGCCAGAGTTTGGTCCACATGGATTGGGTGTGCACTCATCTCCCTCAGGAACTGCAAATGAGGAATATTTAAATTTTGTGTTTTCTTCCTGTTGATTGTCAAAACACAAAATACTTACTGCAATTCTTGAAGGGGTTACCAGTAAGACCCTTGGGGCAGAAGCATATTGGATTTCCATTATCCAGTTCACACTGAGCATTCAGGCCACATGGGTTGGGATCGCACGGATTCTGTGGTGGACTGCAGCCCACCTCGGGATTACCATTGTAGCCAGGTGGGCACTTGCATACGCCTCGATGGTCAATTACATCACACAGAGCAAATGCACCACATTGACAAGGCGATGTGCACTTGCCATTGATGCACGCCTGACTGGCATCGCACTCGGAATCGGAACGACAGCCCAAGGACTGCTGGCAAAGAACGTATGCATTGCCCAAATATCCGGGCAAGCAGCGACAGTTGATGCCGTGGTTGACCGGCACACACTCAGCGTTCTCTCCGCACGAATCCTCTTGGCAAGGATTTATGCAGCGTCGGTTAAGGCGGTCGCACAGCTTATTTGATGGACAATCCTCGTTGTATTGGCAGACGTGGGTGCGTGCTATGGTATTTTTGGTTAGGGTTACGGTGCGATTTGATTCGTGTATTTATAATTCGTTTCGTGTTGTTGTTTTTGTACGTGAGTCGGGGCGGTACAAATTTTATACAAGTGTTGGCAGGTGTACGGGGAATTTGTACAGTGTATGAAATAGAGAGAGAGAGAGATACATTTGGGAATTGAAACATTTTGTGTTATATTAGATTGGACACACTATAACTTGAGGATGAGCAACAGTGCAAAAAGTGCCGGTAATATTATATTACTCACCTGGCTGACAACCAACCAGCCCATTGCCCTGATAGCCATCCTGGCAGCTGCAATCGGCTGCATGATTAGCATTGATACAAACCGCATTTTGGGCACACGGATTATGCACATCGCAAGGATGCTGGCAGCGCTCATTGATGCAGGCTTCTGTGATTCCGCAATCTGAGTTGTGAGTACATTCAACTGTGAAAAATGCACAGCGTGAGTATATTATCGATCTTTTATCAAAAGTTATTCTAGATCTTCTTAGTTGGATTAAATTCGATTGATGAATGAAATTGTTGATTAATATATTAGTTGCTTACTTGACTTTTGCGTTGGCACACACTTGACCATCGGATTGCCCTCGTGGCCTTGCGGGCAACTGCAAATGGGTCGATGACTCTTTGCCGTACACTTGGCCGTGGCAGCACAGATCTTCGCAAACTCGCAGGGATCGTGACACAAGCCCATATAGCAAGCTTCGCTTTCAATGCAATCATTGTTCGATTGACATGGTTCGTGTGTTTTTGGTGTGCCTGACGGTTCTACTTGTTAGAAATTAATAAGTTAGTTAGCATTTTGATTAATTCAGTTGATTGATTAACATATGATTGGAATATAAATTTGTTAAGGACAGCAGTCCGATGAAGATCATATGTACAATAAACAAATAAATATACACATATAATATATGTATTTGTATATATCTATCAGGTATTTGCTTAAATATTTACAGATTGCATACTCTGGCAGCTAATTCAATATGAGCAAGTGAGTCTAACGTTTTAGTTAAAAATTAAGTTTAACATGTTAAATGTTTCGATCATTTTGCTCATGGTTATTAACTACCAGAGTACTTTTGGTATTTCACTTTACATTTTGCACTATTTAGGAAGCTAAAATGCACAGTTGTCACTTTGGTACCTATGTTTGTATGTATGTATGAAATATTTACATAGGAATTCTAAATATTAAGGGCCTGGTAACAACATTTTGGGTACCGAAAGTGACGACAGCATAATCTCTCCTATAGACAATTGTATATACCTTTCAGTGTGCATTGCCCCAGTTTGCAGTGCTCATTAGGAGCACAGTTAGTATCTATTGTACATGGGTTAATAACTGTGATAGTTGTTGTATTGCCCAGCGGAGTAGAGGCAGTTGTTGTTTGCATTGTGATTAGATCGTAGACTTCTGTTGTTGTGCCCGCTCTAGTTGGTAGCTCCGTCGGCCAAGGCGTCGTGCTGGTCATCGTTGTTGTGTCTGGGATCTCGTTTGAGGTATCCAGTCGAGTTGTCTTCATTTTTGGCGTTGTGGTACGCCTGCCACTATCTCTGCTGGTCAGTGTGGTCGTTGTGAACACCGGCCTTGGCGTTGGCGTATCAGTTATATTGTTCTCACCATCCCGATAGCCTTTCGTGTGACCCGATTTCATGGTCGTTGTTTCAATGTCGGGCTTACTCGTGCTTGTCTTGTTAGTGCTTATATCTGTGCTAGTAATGATGGTGGTTGTGGTGGTGGTGGTGGTGGTGGTGCTAGTGGTGGTACCCTTGCTTGAGATTGGCGACATATCGTCGCCAGTGATAGGGTTAGCTGTTGTTGTTGTTTGTATGGATGTTGTTGTTGGTATCGTTGTGGTTTTCATGGTAGTACTAGTTGTTATTGTTACATTAGCTAGGGAGAGAGACATATTTACATGGGTAAAGGGTGGTTATTTTATAATACAAATATGTACACGGTATTATATTTACACTTGTTAGTGCTTAGGCAATGCCTATGTATGATTAACGCTGAACACACCATAGTTATGTAGATTTAATTGAAAGTCAAAACATACCTTTAATACAGGCACCAGTTGTGGGATCACACTTTGCACCTGGCGGGCAGTGCTCGCAGCCAGGTGTGCGTCCTGTTGCTGTAATATCTCAAATTAATAATCACAATTCCAAAATTGAAGCACTTTCAAATTGCACTTACTGTCACGACAGTTGCATCCGTCACACTCGAAACCTTTCCGACAATCAGATTTACGTTGGCATTCGCAGACTGTAATGCAATATAATTATAGAGAGAATTAAATATTATTTATATTGATCGATAGCCAGAATTTCAGAGAAACGCACCGCTGGCACAAACTGGTTGATGGGCAATAACCCGACAATCCTCACTGCGGCCGCAGGGATTCTCATAGGCGCAGGGATCCACACAAAGTGCATTCACGCAGGCCTGTTGAGTCGGGCACTCATCGCTCGAGGCACAACCAATTTCTGATATTGGATTTGAGATTAGCGTTGCAAAGTAAGCAAATTGTTTGAATTAATTAAGGTATAAGATAAGATTTTCGGTTGAGACATTCGTTAGGATATGTTTAATTGATATTATCAGTGTTTATTTTCTTTAAGAAACCTGTTTGATAGGTAGTTTTTCTTGACTTGTTTCAATACTGTTAGTACATTATGATTATATATCAAATATTTGATTCTCTTATGCACCTACTTGAGGCACATTCTAGCACATCTAAGTAAATATAATTTTCATTAAAATATTTTGTTATGTTATTGTTTAGCTGTTGTTGTTTTCCTTTTTAGTGTTGTCGCAAAACAACATATACACATGCAAGCAAGCAAGCAATAAGGATACGATTATTGGAGGTTAGTGCAGTTTTAGGTAAGCCTTAGATAATAAAACACCGATTAGTACGGTCACCAGTCATGCAGTTGATTAATTATACTAGTATATACAAATAAATGCAATGTACTGTACGCAATTATGTGTACAATTCGATAAAGTATATGAATATGTATGTACAAACAAACATATGTACTAAATACAACAAAAATCAACACATATTTTCTTATTTGTATTACACAAAGATGATGAGATCGTAACACTGACATATAACATGCACATCGAGCACAGTCCGAAACGAAACATTCTGAGAGACATTCAACATATGATATAGGTTTTGATGATACACGTAGTACTTGCAGCAGGCAGGCAGGCAAACGTAAGCAGGCAACTAACATGAACGAGAACAGGAACTAGAAAGAGTGAGCTCTATTTAGTTGGCATTCAAACTTTGGTGAATACATTTATTGCTCCATTTGTGAACACATACATAGAGTTCAAGAGGAAATCCGAGTGGTATTTTTTGGTGATGCGTGGTGGTTGTGGTGAGTGCAGGCATATACATACATATACGAATAACAGCGAAGAGCCAGTGATAAGAGCCGAGGGGAAAAGGTACAAATGCAGTAGAGAGTAAGCTTTCTGATGGCCATCATATTGGCGCACAAAAAGCACTGGGATTGAATTGCAAGGAGCCGAACGAATAAAAAAGATAATAAAACATGCACGTGCCAGCCAACAGGTTCGGCTGGTCAGTTATGGAGCAAGTGGAAGGAGATATGAAAAGAAGTCCATAAAAAGAGATAAAGTAGACAATATGACATCAATTTGAAGTAGGCTGCTACGTATTGCCAGATGCATTGGCGATTAAAGTAGTTGGAGCCACGGATTCCGAAAAGAAATCACCACAACCATGTGGTTTGCAACTCATTCAATTGATAAGGAACACGTGGATCAATATTTAGACTTAACATTTACAAACACAGCTTTAGTTACCTGCAGTAATAGAGCAACCGGGTTTATTTACATCGGCGTCGATATCACAATAGCACATAGCGGTGTGGTTCAAAGTACGACAAACAGTATAATTTGCGACATTACATAGGTTATCATAATATTCGCAGGGTCTAATGCAATTTGATTTCACACATACTTCATCGTCCGAGCAATCATTCGGTATCGTACAATTATTTAAAGTCTCTGTTACGTCAACATCTGTCAGAGTCATGTCTGTGGCATTAGCAGAAGCATAACTTGTTTGTGTCGTTTTCTCTAAGCTTAAGCCTAACGTAGTTCTATCTAAAACATCTTCAGGTGTTGTGCTGTCAAGATAGACGACTGACGTCGTTGTTGCAACCCGCTCCATTGGAATTGTTCTTGGATATTCATAGGTTGTTGATTCAGTTATAGTAAATGGAGGAGTTGATTCTTCAGAAAGAGTTGTAGGAGGTCGCGATGGGGTCGTTATTGTTATCCGTTCTATTGGAATTGTTTCAGGAGATTCATAGGTCGTTGATTCAGTTGTAGTAAACGGAGCCGTAGATTCTCCAGAGTCAGTTGCTATAGTTGTAATAGAAGATGGTCGATGTGATGTTGTGTCAGAATGGGTCGTGGTTGTTATGTGTTCAGCTGCCGTCGGATATTCACGGGTTGTCGATTCAGTTGTAGTAAATGGAGCAGTTGATTCTCCAGAGTCAGTTGCTATGGTTGTAACAGAATATGGTATATGGGATGTTGTGTCAGAATGGGTCGAGGTTGTTATCTGTTCAGTAGTTTTCGGATATTCACGGGTTGTCGATTCAGTCGTAGTAAATGAAGGGGTGGATTCTGCAGAAAGAGTTGTTGTAGTAATATCAGAAGATGGTCCCGATGGGGTAGTTGTTGGTATTCGTTCTATTGGAATTGTTTTAGGAGATTCATAGGTCGTTGATTCAGTTGTAAATGGAGCCGTAGATTCTCCAGAGTCAGTTGCTATAGTTGTAATAGAAGATGGTCGATGTGATGTTGTGTCAGAATGGGTCGTGGTTGTTATGTGTTCAGCTGCCGTCGGATATTCACGGGTTGTCGATTCAGTTGTAGTAAATGGAGCAGTTGATTCTCCAGAGTCAGTTGCTATGGTTGTAACAGAATATGGTATATGGGATGTTGTGTCAGAATGGGTCGAGGCTGTTATCTGTTCAGTAGTTTTCGGATATTCACGGGTTGTCGATTCAGTCGTAGTAAATGAAGGGGTGGATTCTGCAGAAAGAGTTGTTGTAGTAATATCAGAAGATGGTCCCGATGGGGTAGTTGTTGGTATTCGTTCTATTGGAATTGTTTTAGGAGATTCATAGGTCGTTGATTCAGTTGTAAATGGAGCCGTAGATTCTCCAGAGTCAGTTGCTATAGTTGTAATAGAAGATGGTCGATGTGATGTTGTGTCAGAATGGGTCGTGGTTGTTATGTGTTCAGCTGCCGTCGGATATTCACGGGTTGTCGATTCAGTTGTAGTAAATGGAGCAGTTGATTCTCCAGAGTCAGTTGCTATGGTTGTAACAGAATATGGTATATGGGATGTTGTGTCAGAATGGGTCGAGGTTGTTATCTGTTCAGTAGTTTTCGGATATTCACGGGTTGTCGATTCAGTCGTAGTAAATGAAGGGGTGGATTCTGCAGAAAGAGTTGTTGTAGTAATATCAGAAGATGGTCCCGATGGGGTAGTTGTTGGTATTCGTTCTATTGGAATTGTTTTAGGAGATTCATAGGTCGTTGATTCAGTTGTAGTAAATGGAGCCGTAGATTCTCCAGAGTCAGTTGGTATGGTTGTAACAGAAGATGGTCGATGTGATGTTGTGTCAGAATGGGTCGTGGTTGTTATCTGTTCTGTAGTTCTTGGATATTCATGGGTTGTCGACTCAGCTGTAGTAAATGGAGCAGTTGATTCTCCAGAGTCAGTTGCTATGGTTGTAACAGAAGATATTCGATGTGATGTTGTGTCAGAATGGGTCGTGGTTGATATCTGTTCAGTAGTCTGCGGATATTCACGGGTTGTCGATTCAGTTGTAGTAAATGAAGGAGTGGATTCTCCGGAAAGAGTTGATGTAATAATAGCAGAAGATGGTCCCGATGGGGTAGTTGTGGTTATCCGTTCTATTGGAATTGTTTTAGGAGATTCATAGGTCGTTGATTCAGTTGTAGTAAAAGGAGCCGTAGATTCTCCAGAGTCAGTTGGTATGGTTGTAACAGAAGATGGTCGATGTGATGTTGTGTCAGAATGGGTCGTGGTTGTTATCTGTTCTGTAGTTCTTGGATATTCATGGGTTGTCGATTCAGCAGTAGTAATCGGAGCAATTGATTCTCCAGAGTCAGTTGCTATGGTTGTAACAGAAGATGGTCGATGTGATGTTGTGTCAGAATGGGTCGTGGTTGTTATCTGTTCAGTTGTTTTCGGATATTCACCCGTTGACGACTCAGTCGTAGTAAATGATTGGGTGGATTCTCCGGAAAGAGTTGTTATAGTAATAGCAGAAGATGGTCCCGATGGGGTAGTTGTTTTTAGCGGTTCTATTGGAATTGAATAAGGAGGTTCAAAGGTCGTTGATTCTGTTGTAGTAAATGGAGTCGTAGATTCTCCAGAGTCAGTTGGTATGGTTGTAGCAGAAGATGGCCGATGTGATGTTGTGTCAGAATGGGTTGTGGTTGTTCTCTGTTCAGTTGTTTTCGGATATTCACGGGTTGTCGATTCAGTCGTAGTAAATGAAGGGGTGGATTCTCCGGAAAGAGTTGTTGTAGTAATATCAGAAGATGGTCCCAATGGGGTAGTTGTTATTCGTTCTAATGGAATTATTTTAGGATATTCATAGGTCGTTGATTCAGTTGTAGTAAATGGAGCCGTAGATTCTCCAGAGTCAGCTGCTATAGTCGTAACAGAAGATGGTCGATGTGATGTTGTGCCAGAATGACTCGTGGTTGTTATCTGTTCAGTTGTTTTCGGATATTCACCCGTTGTCGACTCAGTCGTAGTAAATGATTGGGTGGATTCTCCGGAAAGAGTTGTTATAGTAATAGCAGAAGATGGTCCTGATGGGGTAGTTGTTTTTAGCGGTTCTATTGGAATTGTTTTAAGAAAATCATAGGTCGTTGATTCAGTTGTAGTAAATGGAGCCGTAGATTCTCCAGAGTCAGTTGCTATAGTTGTAACAGAAGATGGTCGATGTGATGTTGTGTCAGAATGACTCGTGGTTGTTATCTGTTCAGTTGTTTTCGGATATTCACCCGTTGTCGACTCAGTCATAGTAATTGAAGGGGTGGATTCTCCGGAAAAAGTTATTGTAGTAATATCAGAAGATGGTCCCGATGGGGTAGTTGTTATTCGTTCTAATGGAATTATTTTTGGAGATTCATAGGTCGTTGATTCAGTTGTAAATGGAGACGTAGATTCTCCAAAGTCAGTTTCTATGGTTGTAACAGAATATGGTATATGGGATGTTGTGTCAGAATGGGTCGTGGTTGTTATGTGTTCAGCAGCCGTCGGATATTCACGGGTTGTCGATTCAGTTGTAGTAAATGGAGCAGTTGATTCTCCAGAGTCAGTTGCTATGGTTGTAACAGAATATGGTATATAGGACGTTGTGTCAGAATGGGTCGTGGTTCTTATCTG